AGGCTACGTTCACACTGTCAATTGGGATTGACAACGGGATTTAATTAGTTAAAGGTGTGACTCTTGAAATATCCTGTTCAAACAGCAACTTGTAATAGTGTCTTGAAATTTGAACGTGCAATGGGAGTCAAGCCCATATTCTCTTACCGGTAACCATAGCGACAGTGACCAAAGTAATATCAAAGAAGGCGACGTCCATAAAATAGAAATGTGTTACTTGTGAAACAACAAGAGTCCAAATCCAGCCATGAGTTCATCCGTCAAATATTCATTAAGTGGAGAGCAGAGCAATTTAAGTCGTGCATAAAACACAAAGCTGAAGGGCATAGCTCTGATGGAGAATAGTGGATCTAAAACATTCAAGTGGCACACAGCTCATATCTTCGTCGATGTAAGTGTGAAACTACACATGAAAAACTTCAACACACGCACATTCACATATAAATATTGATCAGCAAACATAAACCGATCAACCGTACTTCCTTGATGCGTGAGAACAGACCTCATTGGTTGCCTCATGAGAATGAGTCATTGGTTCTCACACATCGAGCAAGCATGCTTGAGCTTCCGTTTACCTTAACTGTTGTGCGAGTTGATGAATGTTTTTAATGTAAATAAATGTCAATATGTTTGTCATATAGAACAAGAGAGTCTCTTCTGAAAATGTGGACCAAACCGCTCAATTAATATGGATTAGTTTCTGTTCTCTATTACCCCTTTTCCACCAGAAAAAGAACTGGTTTGGAACTGGTGCTGGTTCAAAGTTGGTTCGGAGTTGGTTCAACTTGCGAACTGCTTCAGAACCTATATTTGATTTTCCACTGACTAGAGCGCCCAGGGAACGACGTCGTTACGTCACCGTGTACGTCGCCATATGTCTTAGCTAGAAACGCTTGCAAATACAACATTACTTTCGGATTATCTCTAACTCGTATACCAAGAAAGCTTTAAAAACAATTGAAATATGTAAGTCTTTTAATCTTTTCATTTGAAATGTAATTTTTTTCTGATAAGTTATGTACCCCTGTAATTGTGTCTTTTTTTCTTTCCATTTATTTGTTCTATATTGTGACTTTTCTTCTTTGCTTATAATGTCTTCAATAAAAAAATTACAAAAATAGTAATGCTTGCGTTAACTTCAAGCATAACAGTTATAAAGGCGGACTCCATCGTGTTTCTGCAAATGTTTCTCTTGGCTTTGCGATCCTTTATTATGGTCAGAAAAGATGTTTAGAACACATCTAAACCCGCCCAAGGCCCCCGACGTAAGCATGACGTGGTAGAAGAACTGTTCTAGTCCAGCAAAGAGTTGGTGCCGCTTTGGAACCAGTTCTCCTGGCCGAGAACCAGTTCCTTGGCTGTCGAAACACAAAGAACTGGTTCCCGCGTAGGCACCGGCTCCGAACCGGCTCTCAAAATGCTTTGGTGGAAAAGGGGCTTATGAACTTTTTAGAGCGTCAAAGTGGTACAGTAGTTGCGTAGACTTTCAATGGAGGGACAGAAATCTCTTAGATTTCATTTTTAAATTGTTCATTTGTGTTTTGAAGATTAATGAAAGTCTTACGGTTTTGGAACGACATGAGGGTGAGTACATTTTATAGAATTTTTGGGTGAACTAACCCTTTAAATACTTAACATAGTACTATTTAAATAAATTCATCCAGTTTTTTTCCCGCATAGAGAATTAAATGATTAGTTCACTTTAGAATTTAAATTTCGTGATAATTTATTCACCCCCACATCATCCAAGACAGCATTTCTTTCCAGCATTTCTTTCTTCAGTCGAAAATTATTTTTCTCCATATAGTGAACTTTATGGGAACCAACGGTTTGAAGGTCCAAATTGCCTTTTCAATGCAGCTTCAAAGAGCTTTACACAATCCCAGCCGAGGAATAAGGGTCTTATCTATCTAGCCAAACGATCTGTCATTTTCTAAAAAAAAAAAAAAAGAAAGCTCGCGTGTGTTCCGGTTAAAAATGTAGGGTAGGGCGGGGAACTCATCTCATTTTCTCCTCCAACTTTAAAATCGTTGTTTTAACTTTTATTTATTTATTATTTATTTATTTATTGTAAATGGCAATTGACGTTCGCTTTGTAAACCTCTAGGTCGGTACTTCCGCCTACGTCACGCATGACCTTTCAGCGTGATTTTGTCATGTGTGGCGCATCGCAGAGCTAGTAAAAAGTTTTAAATGAAAAATAGGAGGCTGAAATGTTCTGCCTCTGGCGCTGTGCACTGTGTAGAATGCAAAATGGTTTTAATGCAATGTTTCATGTCCTTATGTTATGTTTATGTTCAACTATACTGCAAAATGGCCCTTTTAGCGGTTACGTTGTATTTAATTACTTTCATGTTCAACTGGTTAGCTTTTTGTAGAATTTTCCTTATCTTTATAATTGCAATTTTCTGAAACCATCTATTAGAAAATCTAAAATACATTGCTTGTAAAAGGCAGCTGTTAACAGTTAAACGGGAGTCCCTTTTGCACTGTAGTTGAACATAAACGTAACATAAGGTCGTTAAACATTGCATTAAAGCCTTTTTGCATTCTACACAGTGCACAACCAGAGGCAGAACATTTCAGCCTCCTATTTTTCATTTTTCAAAATGTTTGCTTTGGCCATTTGAAGGCACTGCACAAGTGCATGTGTGCACATCATCAGGATGGTACCACCTCCGCTTCGTTTCGAGCCAGGAAAAACCCTGCATTTATCTGTTAAGAGTTACTTTTTGGATTGCATTAGCATCTAGATGACAGACGATGACTAAAATCCTTAACACTTACACTTATTTTGTCTTTAATGCAATCTTCTATTGTTCCTCAATACATGTAAGCCTGTAGCCATCAGTGTAAAACTAGCGCCAACCTGTGGTAATAACTTCACACTGCATGTACTCCCTTCAGTCAGGACCTTGCATTTTGTGGCAGTGTCGTGAACAAGGGTTGTTTTATCTTGCGGATACTCAATCTAGTAAACATTCTCTTCAACAAGCTCTTCTTTCAGATAATTCAGTCCACTGGATATAAAGTAGATGGACGACCATCAAATCTCTCTATAAACTCTCTCCTGCTGGTTTTACAACCCATTAATTTTACATCCCAATCTTCATCTGAACGCAGTCGAGCTTTCGCTGTGTGACCGTTTGAGATTGTCTGCTCCATTAGATTTCTGAGTCTGACTTGTTCATCAGCGTTTCACTCTCTCGGGTTTTTTTTTTTCTCCATTGGAAGTAGTTCCCCTCATTGATTCTTGATGGTGTCTGAAGTACTTTTCTCATTATAATGCTTTCCTCATCACTTGTTTCATTTAGGCCACTGTAGCTGAATACATGATGATACCAGTGAGTGATGGGGAGTCCCCCTCATCCTGTTGGGTAATTTGGAATAGGGCACTAAAACACCTGGATGTGTTGAGATAATGAGTTCTGTAACCGTTCTGACATTTCCGGGAGCTGAGAGTCCCCACTGGGGATGTGTGAGAGGGAGATGGCAAGGTGATTACATGGACCAATCAGCAGAGAGCGGATGGAGACAAGATGATTTTAGTATTCATAAGAAAAACTATTGCACAGACATCTAAAACACATTCATATATTCACAGCACTCCTGCTCACGTTTTAATCTAGAGCACAGTCGCTTATAAAACAGCTCTAAAAAGCACCAATTTTGTAGTGCCATTATGCAGGAATATAATCATTCAAGGACCATGGAACTGTCGCAATAGTATTTGTAAGGCATAATAGAGAACTTGCACACTATTGATACCAATTATTTTCTAAATTCTCTTTATTCTCAAGTTTTACGAGGTACCAATAACGAGTTTCACATTTACTCAATCATCATTTACTCACCTTTTTAGCAAATTTTCTTTGTTGAGCACAAATGGTGAAACCCTTTAAGAAATTCCTTGCTGCTAAAGTGAATGAGGATGAGTGTTTGTTTGGTGCTCATTAATATCCAATACCATTCAAAATTAACACTTTTTATTCCGCAAGGTGACCGTAAAGACGTTTGTAAATGTTCAAATAACTTATTTTCTTTTAAACATTATATTTATCAAAACACAAAGCAGCACAACTGTTTCCAACATTGAAACTAATCCGAAATGTTTCCTGAGCATCAAATCATCATATTAGAATGATTTCTGAAGGATCATGTGACACTGAAGACGGGAGGAACGATGCTGAAAATTCAGCTTTGACATCACGGGAATAAATTACATTTACAATATATTCATATCAGTGTTGTAGTACTCGAGACTCGGACTCGTCTCGGACTCGGTCTCGAGACCATATTTTAATGGTCTTGGTCTTGTCATGGACTCGTGTCCATTCGGACTCGGAATTGACTCGTACTCGAGCTTTTTTTTTTAGGACTCGGAATTATTCCCGAGTCCACTCGAGTTCAATTAAAAATATTTTTCATGATTATTAATGTATGTTAATAAAATATTTCTTTAAATTGATTGACACGCCCAGTGATTGGTGAATTTCTAGTGCGCAACTGCGCATGACAAATTGTAATAAAATTACTTTTAACACCACCTACTATGTGGCCTTTTTACCCTAAACTGATCATATTTTTTAAACTCTAAGTAAATTCAGTAAAAAAAAAAAAAGGATTTCTCTAAGTAAATAAAAGTAAATTAGGTAATCAACCCTCACTGGTCTCGGACTCGACTCTCTATGGACTCGGTCTTGACTCGGACTCGACTCTCTCTGGTCTCGGTGTCGACTCGGACTCGAGTGAGGTGGTCTCGACTACAACACTGATTCATATAGAAACAGTTATTTTAAATTGTACAAATATTGCTGTTTTTGCTGGATTTTGGATCTAATAAATGCAGAGAACCATTAAGCCAACTTAAGAACATTACACAGCAAAACATGGTTCTTTAGGAAGGTCAAAAGGCCATTAAAGACCCTTTAAGAATGTAAATTCAAGCTTTTTGTATGTTCACCATTGAAACGATTTGTTTTTTCTTTTATATTCCGCAGTTTGTCGAGACCATCAGCAGTAAACAGAGTGAGCTGGAATCCTTCATTGCAGAGGGCTACAAAACAGCACTTTCAGAGGAACGTAGGAGATACTGTTTCCTGGTGGACCGTCAGTGCGCCGTGGCCAAGAACAGCAGTGCCTACCATGGCAAGGTGAGACCCAGATGCTTTTTCCTTTGCCGTACAAGATAGACTGCATCACCACTGATGCACTTTCACAGTCTCTCCTGTAAAGTGGCTGAAGACGGCAGCAGTTGCCATGGCAATCCCCAAAGATCACCCCTCACTACAGTCTCCATTGGGCACAGTTTGTTTGGGCTTATTGCAAAGATGATATTTATTCTCCCCTGCAATTGTCTGTGTTCCAAATGTGCCTGTGAAGTAATGCACACCATTTCTGGACATATCACTTATCTGTAATAACGGAGCCACTTCCCCAGGGCACAACATCCTCATTGTAACTCCAGACTGCATGTAGAGCAGTTATTTAGATCTGCAGGTGGTCCCAGCCCATATGCAATCTACATAAATGCTCCTTTTTACATCTGTATACTCGTGCTTGCCGAAGAGATGCTTGCACGTGGCTATTTTGTGTAATACTATTGCATAACTTGCTCTGACTAAACCGTAAACCCTGATCATGGACTAGACGTGTGGTGCTGTCTTCTGGGAACGTTGTTGAAGCTGTAGGGAGGGGCGGAGAAAAGCCTTTCGTTTTCAAGAACATCCTGTCCAGTAGCTAATCAGTACGGAGGCGTGTGTGGGAAGAGTTCAGAAAGGGCGCGCTGAAGAGAGAGAGAGCGAGTGTGGTAGAGTCGGGAGCTGCGAGTGTGTTGTGTGCGTGAGTCACCAGGAGTGGGCGGTAGGACGGAGACGAAGGCCCCCTCACCCACACCGAAGTGAGCTGCACCGTAAGTGGTCCGAGATGTGAGAGACCCGTTAGCAGTTGCTCAGAATCAACAACAGTCAACTGCTATGACAATGGCGTGAGGTGAATTGTATGTTGAAAGGATTGTGCAAAAAAGCACAGGGTCAAAAACGTTCAATGCCGTTAGGGCTTTTTCAAACCTCTTAACCCGAAGTTGAACTTTGCCACCTAACTCAGAACACCCTAGCAACCACCCTGAATATCCTAGCCTAAAACACTTTAGCAAACAACAGTCAGAACACCCTAGAAATGAATCAGAACAACATAACAACACTCAAACAACCAATCGGAACAGCCTAAAGTGACACAGAACATCCTAGTAAAACACCGCAAACCAGTCAGAACACTCTAGAAATTACTCCGAACTTCCTAACAACACTCAAACAACCATTCAGAACACCGTAAAATGGCTCACAACACGTTAGCAGCACACAAAAAAAAACAGGCAGAACACCCTAGAAATCACAATAACCTAACAAACCTTAAAGGGATACTCCACTTTTTTTTGGAAATAGGCTCATTTTACAACTCCTCCAGAGTTAAACAGTTGAGTTTTACCATTTTCGAATCCATTCAGCCGATTTTCTGATATTTAGAAGAATATCAGTAACCAGACAGTTTCTGGTCTCATTGACTTCCATAGTAGGAAAAAATATATACTATGGTAGTCAATGAAACCAGAAACTGTCTGGTTACTAATATTCTTCTAAATATTAGAAAATCGGCTGAATGGATTTCGAAAACGGTAAAACCCAACTGTTTAACTCTGAGGGAGTTTTTGGAGCTTATTTCCAAAACAAGTGGAGTATCCCTTTAAACAAGCACTCGGAACAGCTTAAAATGGGCCAGAACATCCTAGCGAAACACCAAAAATAACTCTCAAAAAAACCACTAGGAACACCGTAAAATGGCCCAGAACACGTTAGCAGCGCACAAAAACTAGTCAAAACACCTTAGAAATCACTCAACACACAAACAAACAACCTCTTTGAACCCTAAAGACCACCCAGACCATCATAGCAGCATAATAAAAACAACACAGAATACCCTGGGAATTACCCACAACACACTCAAAACTATCACTCTGAACACCCCTGTAACCCAAATAACTGTTTAGAACACCTTAAAAACACCCAGAACACCATCGAAATACATCAAAGAACAGTCAGAACACATTTGCAATACAATAAAAAACACTTAACACCCTATAAGCTTAGCAACACAAAAGAAATAACTCCAAACACCTCGGCAGAACACAAAAAGTGCAGAACCCATTAGCAACACACATCAGAACACTCAAAACACTTTTTTAACCACTTAGCAATAAACCAAAGACCATTCTGACCACATTAGCAACACACAATAAACCATTTAGAATACCCTAGAAACAACCTAGGACACCGACAACCACTCAGAACACCTCTGCAACCATAATTGAAATGTCTTGGCAGCCACTCGCATTACTTCTGAAATTGTAAAAATCTAGTCACGAGCTTGAAGTAGTAACAATAACTGTAGTAACTCTGGTGTTTTGGCAGAAACTACAGTTACTAGTACAATGGCAATCTTTTTTTACATGAGCAGCAAGTTTAGTGGTGTAAAGCCAACAGAGGACATCTGGCATCTCTCTCTCTCACTCTTTCTCTCTCTCTCTCTCCTCTCACACACACTCAGATACATTTTATTACACCATTTATGGACAAGCTCTGCCAATGTCATTCTAAACAATCCCTATCTTTCCCATGGTGCTTGTTTGTAGGGTAAGGACTTGTTAACCCAGAAGATCCCAGTGTGGCAACAGGCTTGTGCAGACCCCAACAAGCTGCCCGACAGGGCCATGTTGCTCGCCCAGCAGATGTGCTCTGGATCAAGCACCCTCATCTCCAGCCCTCTGCACTCCTCCAAGGGCAACCTTCTCATCTCAGATCCCATTCCTGGAGCACAACCGCTGCCCGTGCCCCCCGAACTAGCTGCCTTCATGGGCCATCAGGGGGTTAGTAAAGAATATTTGCCATCTGTTTCACAACATAAAGGATTTATTGTTGGTCAGAATACACAAACTAGCATTTCAAGCCCCTCGTATCCTGATGTGAAAAGTAAATGTTCATTTGCATACTGCAGCATTAGCTGAGCGTAGGATGATTCAACCTCTTTAAAACTCATGTCTGCAGGCTGTGCTTTAGTCGAGTGGCCCCTCACTATAGCAATGTTAACTGTGCCTCTACACCCATAATGCACTGAGTGATACTCGTATATAACAAAGCTTGTTTAGAAGTCTGTGGCCTTGTCTGGTGGTTTAAAACCCAGCCTTATGTGTGTGTATCTGAAAGTGGTCAACCGATATTGAATTTGAAGGTCGATGCCGATTTCTTAGAGACCAGGGTGGCTGAAGGCCAATATCACACTATTTAATTGACTACACGTTTTTATACAGTCTACAAATTGTTCATATACCATTTACTGTCTGTGTAACAGTTCTGTCTTATAATGTAATGTAATGCAGAGGTCTTCAGCAGAGGTCTGCTCCTGGAGAACTCGGACTGTGTTTGAAATCGCCCCCTCATACCCTCATTAACTATTCCCTACAGTACTTCACTAATGTAGTCCATTTAAAGGAGCGAATGAAAATAAGTTCAGACACTGACTGCGCCGGAAGGGCTGACGCTTTTGTATAGTTTGTGCTTGCTGTTTAATAATCATGTGAAATTTAGCAAACTGGCAGCTCCAGTAGTAAGATGAAATGATTGCTAACTAGCATGTATAAACAAGTAAAAATTAATTTATACCTGTATGATACTCTGTAGCCACATTGGAAATGAATGGTTGGATAATTCAGCTGCAGGCGCCATCTTCTGAACAGTGGGAATTAATTTGGCGTGCTACTCTCACAGTGCATTGTGGGTATTCTCTATCCATTGAGCATACACCAGTTGTACACTCGTTATTTGTGGTGCATTGTGGGATTGAATGAGTGCAATCGAAAATATGAACAAACCCAAATGTTGGGTTAAATTTTAAACCAACTTCAGCTTTTACTTTCAACTGTAATTTTTTTTAATTACATTTTTAATTTGGGTTTGTCCATATTTTACCCAAATTTAGGTTAAAACAACCCAGCATTGTTTGGACACCACTACAAATGGCTGTCCCCTCTAATAGAGCACTATTTAAGGGTATGGGAGGCGAATTCGGACACAGCTCCAGTAAAGTTTACTCCTGTAAAGTTTAATTCTAACCTGATTCAGCACACCTGAAGAGCTTCATTAGCAGGTTCAGGTGTGTTTGATTAGGGTTGTTAAACTCAGAAGTAGGGTTGAAGACCTCTGTTTTAATGTATTGGACTGTTAAACAGAGACCGTAAACTAATAACTAATAAGACGCTCAGTGATGGCATTCACAGCTCTGTCAAAATAAAAGTAAAAGACATTCTTTAGACATTCTACTAACTATAAGTAACTTTGCAACTACATGTAAACCAACTCTCATTAGAGTATTAATAGACTGTAGAGTGTCAGTAGACTTTTAGGCGTTCGGTTTCGGGTTAGTAGAATAAGTTGACTTGTAGTTGCTAAGTTACTTGTAGTCAGTAGAATGTGTGTTGGGGGACCGTCAAAATAAAGTGTTAGCAGATATTAAGCAGACAGTCTGCTAATGGCGCTTTTCCATTACCAGTACCCGCTCGACTTGACTCGGCTCACTTTTCACTCCGTTTTCCATCGTACCGCCACAAATAGTACCCGGTCGTCATAGTGACGCCTTTCGTTCCTTGTTGCCCTATCAAGCTCTCGCTGGATCCTCTCTTTGGCAACCAAACAAAGGAAAGTCTGCACCTCCTCGTTTGACCACGGCGTATTCTTCCGAGTTGCTATAATAATAGTAGCCTGACTTCGTCATACTCATATTCTATTGAGAATATGAGTCTGAGAACGCTCCGTAGGGCTTTGATTATGAGGCGTGTCTTAACCGAACCAGGAAAGACAAACCTCTGCAATCAATTGGATAGTCGGACAGACCTACAACAAATCAGAGCAGCGCGGTAAGTCAAATACTTTGCATAGCATAGTTGTCAACAACAGAACTTACTTATTTTAGAAGTTAAATAACGAGTGTTGCTTCTTTCACTTGGTCCTCCATGAGTGCGACCAAACGAGAAACCACAACACATGCTTTTCATTACGTCCCATCGATTAATTTTAAAAACAGACGCGACAGCGGAATCTATACATCTCAAAAGGGAAACCAGTTGGCGCTCTTTGATAACGTAATAATGATTACGTCCCTGCAGATCATCTGTCCATCATCGTATAAAGCCCGCCCTGGCAATCTGATTGGCCCGATCATTTTTTGCCTGATCATAATTACTCCTCAATGGATCGAGTCCAGACCGAACTTCCCGACCAAAAAATGTTGTGAAAAACTATCATGAAAAAAAACTATCTCTGGCTAAACTATTTAAAAATGGCAGGGTTATTCTGGAGACTCCATCTGGCGCGTGCAAATAATGATGACGCAGTGAATGGTCACGATTCTCTCTGACCAATCAGCAGTCGGCATTGTTTTCACGTCACATTTTAGTACCGTCTCAGCTTGCCTTAGCTCGCTCAGAACCTCACCGGAGGTGATGCTAAAAAAAGTACTCGAAAGCAGGTACAGGTACAACTTTTACACAGTGGAAAACCAAGTCGAGTCGGTACTGTGTAGTGGAAAAGCGCCATAATAGTCTAATGACAGTTAGTTAACATGTAGTTGCAAAGTTACTTATAGTTAGTAGAATGTCTAAAGTGGACTATCAAAGTAAAGTGTTACCAAGTGTCCGATTAAGAAAGGCCAAATATTGGCGATATATTGGTCGGCCGTTAGTGTCTGGCATTGCTTACTTGGTGATCTTGATGCTTGCAGCGGCTAATGGGTCCTGATGGCATGTCTCTGGTGAACGGGACGACAGGGGTCCATGGAGACGACTACTGGAACGAGGGAGGGGTCTCTCAGGGAAGACCGCCCTCCCCACCGAATCAGTCTCAACCACAGAGTCAGCCCCAGAGACAGGTCAGCGACGTCTATTCCAACACTCTGCCCGTGCGCAGGCCTCAGCCCGCTAAAAACAAGACCACTGTGGGTAAGAGAAACCAACCCTTCCACACAACCTTTTGGGCAAATAAAGTCCTTTTGATTTTGAGAAAAGCTACATAAAAGAAATGATGGAAGGAATTTTCATTAATAGTTGGTTCACTCTGTAGGAGAGACACGAACTCTGCCTAGGTCAAGTTCTATGGCGGCTGGACTGGAGAAGAACGGACGTGCTCGCGTGCAGGCCATTTTCTCCCACGCCGCTGGTGACAACAGCACCCTGCTCAGCTTCACTGAAGGCGACATCATCACCCTGCTGGTGCCAGAGGCTCGGGACGGCTGGCACTATGGGGAGAATGAGAAAAACAAGATGTAAGCGCTCAATGATATATACTGTACATTAGCAACAGAGCTGAATGGAAACAGGAGAAGTCTTCGCATCCCGTGAAGCACTGCAGATGACATGGGACCATCCTTAGGGTTTCTGGGTCCCTTGTACTGTTCATGTCAGATTGCTCTCCTGAAAAAATGTGTTCTCTAGAGTTTCAAAAGAGATCTCAACAAAATCTCCAAGTGCCCAGAAGTGACTGCAAAGTGTCATTAGACATGATTCTCTACCTTCTCTTACTCCGTGTTTATTTGCATGCATTTAAAAATTTTGCTGTAAACCATGACTTAAAGGAGTACTTCACTTTTAACAAAAACTTTTGCTGATAATTTACTCACCCCCATGTCATCCAAGATGTCCATTTCTTTCTTTTTTCAGTCGAAAAGAAATTAAGGTTTTTGATGAAAACATTCCAGGGGAACTTTACTGGGAACCAGACGGTTCAAGGTCCAAATGAGAGTTTCAGTGCAGCTTCAAAGGGCTTTAAGCGATACCAGACAATGAATAAGGGTCTTATCTAGCGAAACGATCGCTCATTTCATATAAAAAAATAAATAACAAACATTAAGTTTTATAAGCTCGAATGCTCGCCTTGCTCTGTTCTGTGATGCGCGTCCTGTTCGAACTCGTTCATCAAAATGAAAGAATCTTTTTTCGAGTCAGTTCGTTCATTTCGTTCGTTGAATGAACCAAATGACTCGAAAAAAAGATTTGTTCATTTTGATGAACAAGTTCGAACAGAAGAGTCACGAATGCGCATTACAGAAGAGAGCAAGGTGAGCATTTGAGCTTATAAAACTTAATCTTTGTTATTTATTTTTGAAACGAGCGATATTTTTGAAAGTTTCGCTTGGTCAGACCCTTATTCATCGTCTGGTGTCGTTTAAAGCCCTTTGAACAGTTTACAGTTTGCACTGAAACTGTCTTTTGGACCTTGAACCGTTTGGTTCCCACTGAAGTGCGTTATATGGAGAAAAATCTTGGAATGTTTTCATCAATACCATAATATCTTTCCGACTGAAGAAAGAAAGACGTGGACATCTTGGATGACATCGGGGTGAGTAAATTATCAGCAAAAGTTTTTTTTTAAAACTTGAACTACTCCTTTAAGAGATAAAATGCAAATAGTTAGAATTACATTTGATTACTAGAGTCTTTTTCTCAGGAGAATAATCTGTTATAAATAAGTCTCTTTTTTGTTTAGGGGAATCTTTTTATAAGCAAGTTGAGATGTTAAAGATATGTCTTTAATGCTTTTTCTTTACATTTTCGTTTGATCCGCTTTCATGGACGTAAAGTTTCTAAAGAAAAGCTCTTTTCTCTCAGGCGTGGCTGGTTTCCTTTTTCCTACACTCGAGTGCTGCCTGAGAGTGACGGCGAGAAGTTAAAAGTCAAGTAAGTTTCTCTCTTTACATTTGGTATTGACGTAGTCGCAGTCGTCTGGGATGGATTTTGACCATACTGAAGGATGAAAAGGCTCGTATATACTACTAATAATCTTACTGTGTGTCACTTTGACTGAGCGGTGGGATGCAGGTTTGGGCTTTTCTTTTTCTTCTCTGGCGATTTGAAACGGATATTGTTATCTTGCGCTTTGATTAAATCGCCTGATTTAATCAACGATATCTGATTATTAATCAAATGATTTCACTGGAATGTGGTTGGAATCTTGCTAATTTAAGTCGCTTTAAAACCTTTTCTTCCTGTTTCTTCACTTATAATCACTAATACAATTATTTACTGAGGAGTTTATTAAGAAAAAGGGAACATTAAATTACTGAAACTATTTTTACATTTTAAATGACAGAAATAACTAAATTATTTATGAAAACTCGCACCTTTGAAGTTTGTTGTCGGTAATATATATATGTGTCTTCTGCTCTGCATGTATTTTTTTTCTTAAATCAGTAAAAACTGTAATATTGTGAAATAGTATTACAATTTAAAAGTACTGTTTCTATTTGTGTATATAATCAGATTTATTTTATTCATGTGAAGACATTACTGAAGTCTTCAGTGTCACATGATCAATCAGAAATCATTACTGCTTAAAAACATTACATTATTAATTTTGAAAATGTTTGTTTTGTGGAAACCTTGATAAATGTATTTAGTATTGTTTTTAATTTATTTAACAGCATTTGTAGGATATTTTTTATATTATAAACAACTCGGTTTAATGCATCCTTGCTAATAATGAATATATACATATACATTCTTATTAATTATATATATATATATATATATATATATATTTATTATTATTTTTTTTTTTACAAATCCCCAACCTTTGAGCATTGGTGTGTGTAACGGATAAGGTACTGGAGAGGCATTTGAATAAAGGTGTAAAGGCAATCCCGTGAAAAACTGCCCAGATACGAAACACAAACACATGTTTATCGCATGTGTAAAGATGATTGATTTACTGACCTTCATCCTGTAGTCTTCACCATGGGAAGAGCAGCAGCACAGGAAACCTGCTGGAGCGAGAGGACATGTCTTTGCCCATGCCTGACTATGGTCTGACTGCCCGACTGTTGGCACAGAGCCTAACACAGACTCGACCACGTCCCTACAGCATGGCAGGCTTTGCACAGGTACACACACACACACAGATACCTATTAGCATTAGACAGGAATCTCTCTGAAGTCTCCTTTCTTTGTAACTCTCTTTAAACTCTGCTCAAAGTGTAATCTTTATGTCAGCTCTTTAATCTGTTCTGTAAAGCTTACTAATGGTGTGGGTCTCTCTTAACGTGCATGATTTTCATATTAAAAGGATAGTTCATCACAAAATTCCTGTCATAATTTACTCATGCTCTTGTTGTTTCAAACACACAAGACTTTCTCTCTTCTGCGGAACACAAAAGCTGTTTTGAAAGGCTTGACTTTTCTGTACACCGAAAGCATTTTGATTAGGGGAAAAAAAATGTGACGGAAGTAAATCATATGATTTGTGCACATGAGTACAAATCTGTCACATCTCATTCACGTTTCTGCATGTTCAGATTTAAAACATCACATCTGGTTCGACAAGTTTGACTGAATTCTTTAACATAGAGGCACGTTTTGCCAGTGAGCTATCTAGGTTTTTCCTAAAACGTACCTGTACATACAGTACAATTCACTGCAGTTTACAGCTGAAATGACTGCTAATTACTTTACTTTACTTTACTTTACTTTACTTTACTTTACTACTTTATTGTCAGACGAGTCTGAAATTTTTCTTGCATAACAGTGTATATGTTTGCAACATCTAACATACATTCTACATCGACATACTCTTACACATCACATATTACAGTACAACATACATACAACGTATATACTGTACATACATTCTACATCGACATGCATTTACACATCACATATTATACCATCCAAACAGTACAACACTCATACTTCTAACACCTTCACACTTGATCTCTGATTGAATGTTTTGTTCAACGCTATGGTAGCCTGGTGCACAAAGGAGTGTTTCAGCCTCACTTTATTAAATCTGGGCACTCTATACCTCCTATTTGATGGTAAAAGTTCAAATTCTTTATGCAGAATATGCAGAGGGTTAGATGTTATAGTACTAGCTAGCCTTAGCAAATTGTTATGATAGGCTGAGTCATAGAGCTTCTCAAGGGGCTGACCTATAATCTTTGAGCAAATTTTTAATTGATTATACAACTTTGTTTTCAGCATAACAGACAAGCTTTTATACCAAATCGAGTTGCAATATTGCAGTATACTCATTATCAAAGACTTATAGAACAACAGGAGAATCTGTTTACTTACTCCAAATGATCTAAGACGACGAAGAAAATAAATTCTCTGCTTTGTTTTTTTACACAGTGAGTCAATGTGTTCTTTCCATGACAGCATATCGTCAATAATCACTCCCAAATATTTATATGTCTTTACCGATCCAATTTCCTCCTTATTAATAAAGACAGGCATCATATCGGATACAGACCCAAATACAATCTCCTCAGTTTTACTGGTATTAATGACAAGGGCATTATTCTCACACCACTCATTCAATTTAGTCACACCTTGCTGATGAAACTCAGGACTGTTCAGATCATTTATCACAGATATTAGAACAGTGTCATCAGAATATTTTAAAATATACTGATTTGACACGTCAGTTCGACAGTCATCTGTATATAAGGTGAAAAGTATGGCAGAACTAACGCAACCTTGTGGGACTCCGACATTTGTAATGATTGCAGACGACACAGTATTATTCACTTTGACTCTCTGAACTCTATCAGTGAGAAATGAGGTGTACCATTGGACCAGATAGGGATTAACATTCAGCCGTACAAGTTTTGTCACCAGTCTGTCAACCTGTACTGTGTTGAATGCAGAAGAGAAATCTAAGAACAAAGCTCTAACAGTTGTTTTGGGTTTATCTAGATTTTTAGAGATGATGTGTACTAAAGCAGCAACTGCGTCTTCAGTGCTACAGCCTTTCTTATAGGCAAACTGCCAGGGATCTAATTTGTCTTTGACTGTATGAACTAAATGCTGAAGTAACAGTCTCTCTAAACATTTCACAATCACGGAGGTGAGGGCTATTGGTCTAAAATCTTTATATTCTTTTGGACATGGCATAATTGCTGTAAAACACCAACAACTTGTATTTATTGTCCCACAAATTTTGATTACAGGGGCAGATTATCACTTAACACTTATTTTGAGGCCGTTCCTTGCACAGCACAATGACATGACCTTAAAACACTTTTGACCCAGTGCATAAACTGTAAACTAAACTACATGTTGATGTTTGCGTCACAAAACCAGCCTCATGTTTGGCTTTTTGGATGTACAGTAGTAAACATGCTCTGTAACTCAGCATTGCGTTATGGATGAGAAGCGCAAGTCCTTTAAAACACATTTCATGACCAAAGAACACTACTTATCTGTCGGTTAGGTTTAGTGTAGGATACAAATGCGAACAAATGCGACAAAACAAATGCGATTAATGTTTTAGCGGCACTCACTGAATATTTCACTTTGAAAGTTGAGTAAAGGTGCAAGACGCGACATAATATAATTTTGTTAATGTCGCGACGGGTACGTTTCTCCAATAAGTTTGGTTTGGATTGGTTAAATTACATTGGAGACCAACAGCAAAGCAGAAGGTCTTGAGTGAATAACAAAACACAAAATTATTGTATGTCTTCAGAAGACTTTTATGGTGCTCTTTGTCTGTTTTTGAGCTTAAAAGTCCCTGGTCACAAACTGCTTTCATTGCAGGAAGTACAATTGAAACATTGCGAGTAAATGATGACAGGATTAGTATGTTTGTGTGAACCGTCCCTTTAATACCCTGTGTTGATGCACGCTTGGATATTTTCCTCCGAAGCCGCACTGAAATGTTGTTTTTACGAATTCCAGCCAGCGCTAGAGGATTATGACAGTCAGTTTGCCCCAAGGTAAGATCGGCTCTTAATGGACAGAAATGACAGAGTCTTATGAATTGATCCCAAAATGCCAAAACTGTACTGCTAATTATACCTCTGTTAGTGAATAGTAGTTAATATCTGTAATTTTTCCCTTTCTTAGCTCTTGCTTGCTTATGCTAAATGTGCAATGTAGTGCTGATATTTGTTGGGAGACCAACCCTGTATTATCTGAGAATTGTAAATGGTTGACAAGAGAAGGTTGTGTGTCTGTCTGTTTTCGTGAGTGGAGTGAACGAGCTGTTGGATTGTGAAATGCATCGTTGTTGACCCCATTGTAACCTCACTGTGTGTGTGATCCATTAAGGTCAGGATCAGAGATGCTCGCAGTCTGTGTGCCCTAAAGTCATGGTTTCTAGGAGCCTCTATTGACTGCAGATAATGGTTTCATAACATCCCGCAGTTAATAAAAGCAAACCAAAACTGTACAATAATGCACTTACAGTAGAAACAAGTTAATTCAGAAGGGTTTAAAAGTAGAAATGTGAAGCTTGTATTTTCAAGCAGTATGGTTTCAAGTAGAGTTGTCAAAAGTATAGAATTTGATACCAAGTCGCTACTGATATAAAAAAATGTGACGATACCAGCATTTCTCTCTAGCATTTTGAGCATTTTGAGTCTTAAAGGGTTAGTTCACCCAAAAATGAAAATTAAGTCATTAATTACTCACCCCCATGCTGTACCAACCCCGTAAGACCTTCGTCCCAAGTGACTACCGTGGCTCAACTATGTTTATCAAGCGACGAGAATACTTTTTGTGCGAAAAAACAAACAAAAATAACGAGTTTATTCGACTATTCCTTTTCTTCCTTGTAGGCCAGAAACGAGACTTCCTTAGATTTCCACGACGCATGCGCGAGAACTGAACTGAAGTAGTGTAAGGAGATCGCAATTCTCGCGCATGCGTCGTGGAAATCTAAGGAAGTCTCGTTTCTGGCCTACAAGGAAGAAAAGGAATAGTCGAATAAACTCGTTATTTTTGTTTGTTTTTTCGCACAAAAAGTATTCTCGTCGCTTGATAAACATAGTTGAGCCACGGTAGTCACTTGGGATATTTAAACATTTTCTTCATTGACTTTCTGGGCCGTCAAGAGGCAGTCCCTTAGGCAGCCAATGTGGTAGTTATACAGCTCTCAAATTTAATCAAAAATATCTTCATTTGTGTTCCGAAGACAAACGAAGGTCTTACGGGGTTGGTACAGCATGGGGGTGAGTAATTAATGACTTAATTTTCATTTTTGGGTGAACTAACCCTTTAAACACCTCTGATTGGACATTGTGTTGACGCACTCGGCTCAACATATGTCTCTGATTGGCTACAATGATCAACGCTTCAAAAACGTTATCGTTGACACTCTTCATTGAGTGCTCACACAGATACACACGTTAGTGTTTGAAAGCAGCGTCTATCGGTGGATGTTTTATTAGGGATATTAGACGCCCGCTTTTAAACGTGTATCTGTGTAAGCGCTCGGTGACAAGCATCAAAAATGCCATTGTAGCCAATCACAGACATACATGTTGTGTGCTTCAACACAATGGCCAATCACAGGGAAGCATGTTGAGCGCATCAACATAATGGCCAATCACAGGCATGCATGTTGAGTGCATCAACATAATGGCATAAAGTTTCAAGTGAATAAACTGGGTATACATTATCAATATTTTGCTGTTAGCATATTTGTCCCTTTCAGGTAGCAGTAAAATGTAAGATGGGGCCTGGTCATTAAAAAAACAAAAAAGACTATCTTAAACTGGATCCTAAAATAAACAGGGAGCCAATAAAGAGAAACTGGGATTGGTGTATTATGGTCATATGTTTCTGGCCGCGGTCAACAGTTTTAAGCCGCGTTTCCACCGCATGAACTTTCCCCAGGAACTAGGAACTTTGGGGTGGTCCTTGGTGTGTTTACACCACAGGAACCAGGGACTATAAATGAAGTTCGGGTAAAAATTTCCCACCCAGAAAGTCCCTGCAGTACTTTTTCAGAGTTCGGGAACTTTCGGGGTGGGACTTGTGTGCTGAACATGCTGATTGGTTCTTACCAATCTTGTTCTTTCTACCCGAGGGCACGCGTTCGTCCCATCCATCTCACGGTCAATGTCTGCTGATAACAAACGTCTACTTTTATATCTAGCATTACGAGCTTTCGGAATACGCTTTGGGTGCTCGTCTCTTTTCCGCCGTTTTGTTAATTACCTCGTTAGTAAACCAATCGCACACAAATGCGGTACAGCTTGAATCTCCTCCATACTTAAAACTCAAAACAAACGCGCAGACTGGGAGGAACAGTCGCACGCAGTTCAACGTCACTACATAATCTTCCCGCCCCGGAACGGTACTTTAGTCCGCGGTGTAAACGCAGTAAGCAAGCGGTCTGGGGCAAAAAAAGTTCCTGGGACAAATAGTTCCTGGTAATTGCGGTGGAAACGCGACTTTACAGCAGAATTCTGGACCATCTGAAGTTGACTGAGGAAGATCGAAATAAAGGGTTACAATAGCCTAATATAAGAGTTTTGTAGCCTTCCTTTGAAAATGTTTTCCATGCCCTGCCTCATAAATGTAACATGTAAGTGCATTACTGTAAACACGATTTGACTACCGAGTCAAAAGATTGTTGTAAATTGTATTTAAGCCGAATCATTTTTTATTCAGAAAGATGTTTTTGAGATGAAACTCGACCTGACCTTTTACCAATTTAATCTCTTTGTCAAATGTCCCATGGCACATTTCATATCTGAAGTTGGCTGTTTAGTTTGATGTTAGACATGTTAAGGTTGAGGAATAAGCCCCCTACAGACTTCACTCCCACCCATTTGTGGCTGTCTTGTCTTTTCTTCATTTCTCTCTGAATGTGTCCGACCTGGCAAGCTTCCTTCTCTCTTTGTTCCACAGTTCCGATGGCAAATTGATTTCGACAGTGTGAACACACAGACTATCAGACACAGATCCGGATAGCACAGGGGCCACGCCCCTACTTCCCTTAGCCCCTCCCCCTCTTAAGCTCTGCCTCCACACACTCCTCCAATGGAAGGGGCCAGTCTCATCCCTCCTTTCTGTCCTCTCTTCCTCCCTGCGTCTTGCCGGGGCGATAGTGGTGGTCGCGTGTGGTGGGTCGGGGGGGAACTCTGAGAAGAACGACCGGAACGCAGTCCAACTGCTCGTCTCGCTGCTTTACGGACTCTGATTCGCCTGTAGTGACGCCGCTATGACATCGCTGTGGACTCCAAAGAGACTGCTTACCACTTCCCGTCTTTCATGCATGTGCACAAGTTTTGCTATGTGGTTGTTTTCTAAAATGACATCCTCATGTAAAAAGTGCCAAAAGCCAATTTAGTCTTTTGGAGCAGCTCTCCTCATTGCGAAGCTCTTGCTGAGTGTTTTTTTTTTTTCTAAGCAGATGTGATGGGAGCCTCATGCATAATGAGGAATGTTTTTTCTTTTTGTTTCTTCTTCTTTGTGGTTTAGTTGTGCAGAGTGTACTCTCTCTGTGTGTGTTTTTGAAGAGCATTTGCGTTTTGTGAATCCCTCATGTATTACCTGGTGCTCCTCTGGTCCAGAGGCTGTGTCGCTTTGTGCCGTAACTTACAGCAGCTTAGATTTTCCTCCGATTCCCTGACGAAATTGGAATGATTCGAAGGAAAATCGAAAATTTCTCTCATTAAACAAGTGCCAAATGAGAATGGACCTACGAAACTAAGAGTCAAGGTCGCTTGAGCTTCAAAATACTCGGCTGGGACTGTGCCGATCGCCCCGGACCGGCACCCATCCGCTCACCCGACATGCATGAAAGAAAAGTGCTCTGAGCAGAAACCTTTACCCCCCAAAAAATACCCCATTATCCTGCCTCAGACACCTTAAAGGGGTGGTTCGGAATTTTGGGCAACGGGCCTCATTTCCAAGTGAGCCTTAGGCCGTGTGTCCACCAAAGCGTTTTTTGCCAGCTGAAAACGCCAGACGCTCTGCTGAAGACGCCGTGCTTTGGGCGTTTGAGAGCGTTTTGGCAGCACAACGTGTTTTTTTTTTTTTTTCATTGAGACGTTTCGTTGCTATGATACGGAGTATCCGCAGCACAGTTTACTTGTAACTGATTTCGCAGATAATTTGTTTCATACTAAAAAAAAATTTTTCATCCATTTTGTTCGGTTAGCTCTGCTGGTTGATGTCCTTGTACAGAAAGAATGTTGTGACAGTTGGTCGGTGTGGTATTAGTCCCGCCCCTCCTCCACTGTGATTGGACGGCTGGGTAAGAAGTGATAGTGATGAGCACTGCGTTTTATCCAAAGTTGAACATTTTTCAACTCCCGGCGACCAGTAAAAACGCTTCAGCACAGCGCCTCGTTACGCTCATGGCGTTTAAAAAACGTGACGCAATTGAAAACATACGCCAGACGCGTGGAAAAACGCTTTGGTGGACACACGGTCTTAGTGTTATTTATCAGTGGAGACAGTTTAAAAAAAATTTCACCCAGTCGTCCCAGTTGCACAGTTCGCCGGTGCTATGCTAGCACGAGTCAACAGTAACTTTTAGCATGCCTCTAAAAACAGTTTTTCCCATTCCACAGTACACCAAAAGCAAATCAATTATAACGCCAGACTATCGATGTAAGTGTCTGTTGAGAGAATGATGTTAGAAATCAAACTACCCTTTTCATCTCAATGATTGCATTACATTTACAGGAACTAGTTTCTCAGCAGCGGCTGAACTATGGTTCGCTCCGGTTAGTAGTAACGTTACTGCGTCAAAAAGTAAACACATAACAGAAGCGTACGACAGTTGGGACGTCTAGCTAGCTTAGTAATAATTGTTGAGGTAAACGAAGGCAACATGGTGATTCGGTGTGCATTTCCCAATTGCAAGAACAAACCTAATAAATGTTAATCGCGAAGTTTTCACAAATTTCCTTTTGAAGATCCAGAAAGGCTTCAACTTTAGATTATTTCTGCGGGCTTGGACAAGGAGTCAAAGGATGCGACTCTAAAAAAAATTAAGGATTTGCAGTGACCATTTTAGACCAGACGACTTTAAAGAACCATTCAATCGAAATGGTTACAGGTTTATGACAAGGAATGCAGTCCAGCCGTCTTTCCAGATGCACCAACAGCTACGATGTACAGGTAACATATTTTGTTGGGCTACTCTAGCTAGCTAATGAAGCTAGCCCTGATAGATCATTTATGAAAGGGCACTCTCACGTCTTCTCGCAACACATCATAAATTATACTCTGTTTCTGTAGTGATGAGTGTCAGCGGCAGGTAAATACACTTGCGTGATTGTCGTGTGGACCGGCTCTCTCGTTTGCCTAGGTAACTTCATATCACTCCGCCGCTGCTGTAGACTGTGCTAATAAATATACGTAAAACTATTGCAATGCAATGAAAGGGTAGTTTGATTTCTAACATTAATTCTCTCAACAAACTCTTACATCGATAGTCTGGCGTTATAATTGTTTTGCTTTTGGTGTACTGTGGAGTGGGTAAAACTGTTTTTAATGGCATGCTAAAAGTTAGCGTTGACTCGCGCTAGCATAGCACCGGAGAACTGTGCAACTGGGACGACTGTGTGAAAATTTTTGAAAACTGTCTCCACTGATAAATAACACTAAGGCTCACTTGGAAATGAGGCCCGATGTCCAAAATTCCGAACCACCCCTTTAAAGTATGGGATCAGAATGGTATTAGAATGAATATTTCAGCCAATCCAATGAGAGTTCAGGACATTGCGTCAAGTGAAAGGACTGAACATTTTCTGAATCCCAATTGGGTTACACATTTATGTATCATATTTTGTTGAATATATTCATTTGAGCCTATTCTGAGCCCATATTGAAGTGCCAACAGCCCATGTCTTTAAAGCATTCCCATTGTAGTATGTTTCCGTGCAGTTTTAGGATGCTGACTGACAGATCCTCTGGAGCTGTGGTGTAGTCCTCGCTGTGTTGATGTTCTTTTATTTTCTTTGTTTTTTTCTTGGAAAATATACAAACTAGGTAAAAATGCACAAGAAATCAGTGTAACAATCACAATATGCATGCTGAGGAGGAAAATCGTGAACATTGACCTTGAATGTATGGTGACTTTTTACGAAAAGAATAAATAAATATATATATATATATTAATAAAACATTTGTTCGAATGAGCTTTGGATGATTTTTAATTTGTCATCTTGAATTTGCAATTTTCTGCATTGGACGTAGAAAAGAACTTCTTTGTGATATTTATTGACAGTTTTATGGTGTTATTTATTCATATATTATTTGGAAAAAAATACATGCATATAAAAAACGGATCTTAAAAAATCAATTTCGGGACATTAATGGCTAATCTTGCACCCTGAATTTAGTATTCAATTTCTTGGCTTTGCACTCACATCCCACAAATCAAAATCCAGACGAGGTTACGTTGCCGTCTTTGAGGCCGACTGTGATCCAACATTTCACGAACCTGAAGAGCACACAGTTCTAACCTAGCGTAACGTTTGTTTGTGCATCATGATGTTGTGTCTGTATGAATATGTGACCTGTCCGTGTATTTCTGTGGCTGTGCTTGCCTGCTCGCCTTTTTTCTTCTACCTTATCGTCTAAGATCTGATCTATTTGAGATGCGTGTCAGTTTTCTAAGCATGCCTTTAATTTGAAGAACCGAAGGGATTTGATATTTGAAATGTGCTCTTCAAGAGTTCTTTGTTTTGTTTTTCCATACACATCTCTTTACTAATCAGACCTCCTATGCAAACTGCTTTCATTTTGCACTATATTTTGAACCCATGTCATTTCTAGAGGTGCGTTATGTACTCATCTTCGAACATAAGATTGTGACGTCATCCATGACCAGTCTAAACGCTCAGTAACCTACAGAACGGCCATCGTACGCAACACTAACAGTCATGTGAATGCGGTGGAAATGTAGCCATGCATAGCCTCGGTCTGAGCTGAGATCTCAGGTACAAACCCCTGGACTCTCTTTACCTTCCAGTTTTGGTCCTGAATTGTCCCGGTTCTGAGTGTTGCAGGACCTCCGTAAGTCACCTGCCTCCATCGCTGCTAAGCCAAACCAATCATGCCCTTTCTTGTATCCTTTTGTCATTTGGTTTGTTTTTCGACTCCCATTCGCTGTTCGGCTTAAACGGGGCAGTAGGGCTTCACAACTGTTTCGTCTCATGCCGCCACCTGCCTCTCTGGTTGGTCCTTGGCTTTTTTTTTGATTGTGTGTGTGTGTACGTGTGAGCTGTAGTTCGTACCAGCCAGAGAGGTCATAGGTTGCCAGGAAATGGTGTTGGCGCTGGAGGTAACCCTGAATCTAACTCTTGCATGCCTCTATCAGAAGTAACTGTGTCTTGTCCCATTTGCATGCCTGCTCCAAACACCCTTCAGATGCCTGTTCATAAGTACATGTCAAATGAATCACCGTATGCCTTTCAGCAGTCCTTTTTCTTCTGTTTCCCAAAGTGCAGTAGACTTTAAGATGTTTTGATGTCGTAGAGTTCAGTGGGTCACTAGCACGGGCCGTGTTTCGCGGCGTACTGACCGTGTTTGTTCTCCACCCCCTCTCTATCTAGTGACCGTTCCCTGGAGGTCTACTTCAGGCCAAGCATCATGGACGACCGATCCGCTCCTCTCTACTACTAGAGGGGCCGCGCTGCGGCCTGTGCGCTATACCGCCCTCTTCTGTTCTGTCTGTGTCATTGCAACTGCATGTGGAGCACATGCATTTACCCACAGGGCACGGAGGAGAGAGCTTGTTGCGTCCTGAAAGGATTAGAGTAATCTCTGTAGCTCCAGTACATTATTAATTATCGGTATTTGTAACCACCAATTCACGTATTTCAAAAGCTTTTGAAAAGGGTTCTGTTCATGTTAACAAACTGAATGTGTTTCTTTTTTTCAATGCCTGACTGTTTAAAAATGAGATCTTTTACTTGAATGAATGTGTAAAAGTGAGCAATTGGTAGATAAATGCAGTTCTATAGGGAAGCCTTTCTTTTTCTGTCAGTTCTAAACGTTTTTGTGGCACATGCCTCTAACACTCATTTCAGAAAGCTGATGAAGCCTCTTCTTGATAATAATATTAAACAGACCACCATGCTTTGCTAATGTTTTAGTGATGCCTCTGTGAATTCTCTGTCTATGCAGAGATCTGTACAGTGTATTAGATTCAATATATAGTGCAATTTCTCAACGCAAGCAACGCAAACACAGGAACTGTGCCTTTTCCTGGGGTTTTGTGCTTAATGCGGTTCTGAATATGTGTTAACTCCACTGGTGTAAGTAAAAGGGATTTGCGTTTATGTGATATTTTGTTGTTTTGTACTATTTTTTTTTTCTTTGTTTCTTAGCAATTTCAATGACTGTTATAGATTTAAGGGGGTTTATTTGTCTTAACCTGTTGCTTTTGCTTTTTTCACATACTGAGCAATACTGCTTATTAAATATCAAAAAATAGACTTGCTGCATAACAGTGAAGATATTAAATTGCAGGCTCTGTAAATATATCTTTTGGTTCGTTTCTGATGAGTGAGGGTCTTAAAAGAACTAGACCAGTCACAAAAGCCATTGTGTATATACAACATTTGATTTGTTACAGGAAAAATATATAATAGGTAGATTAGATACTGATATGATTGCATGTTTTATAATAGGGCGTCTACTCTTGGATTGTTTGAGGAAGGTGGGAATGTTGAGATTCTTCGATGGAGAGGTTGTGTCTGATCGGCTTTAAAAACCCATTTTATAATGTTTTGTTTTTGTTTTGGCTTTTCTGTTTATTCCTATTTATGGAGAACTGCTAATGAATGTGCACATTCTTGTCTTTTCTGAAATAAAAAAAGCAAATGTAAACTGATCTCTACCATACTTTCTGATTTTCATGACGGAGATCTAGAATTTCTTTTCTTTGGCCGAAGCTCAATCTTCTCGTGTGGTTGAAGCATAATCATTTTCATCTTACATGAACAATTTATTTATTCAATGAAAGTGGTCTCAGACTTTTGGAGCCCACTGTATTTGCATTGAGCTTACGCATATGTATAAAGAATCTTTAATAACTCACAGGCACAAGGAGAAACTATAGTTTGGTTTATTTTTAGAATAGTACAGTAGGCATGAGTTGTGAGGACATACAGTTTGACAGCAATGAGGCAGTAACAACAGACTTCTCCCCTCAACGCTACATTCAACACTCAGTTCGCTTTCATTTAACCTCTCTTTGGCAACCATAAACACCCAAATGAAGCACTGATGCTCAGGATGAGTAAAAGTACCTACTGCCGCTAGGTTCAGCACAGTATAAAACTCTTAAAAGGCAAACAGCGAGAAAGCGAGGGTACAGTGCAGTGATTGTGACTTACAGCATTGGCACAAATGTGTATGGGCTCCAGTGAATCAAGGCAGAGCATGACAGGTACAGCTGTATGTTACATTTAAACAGATATCATTACTTTTCTCGATGTGACACACCAGATCATATAGGGACAAATATATTGAGAGAACCTTGTTAGAAACACATGAGGTCCACATGCCGTCTGGACCATCTGAATTGTTTTGTAGTATAATTTTCAACATCTATCTGCTATTGGATTTAACAAAAAGAACACCTCTGAGATGAGGCTTCATCACAGACGGAGGATCAGATCTGCAGGAGCTGCCATTATTGTTTGTAACAGATTTGGTTCACAGACGAGATGGTCACTCTTCCTTTAACTTGGTTAAGTGACTTTGATAACCCACTGGTTTTTCGCTGAAAATCAGTTCATGTAGCTCTTGTCTTGAATTTGAAGCAAATGTTATTCATGCCCAAGACTGATTGCTGTGACAGACTTTCTAAAGTTCTGATCCTGTCAAGCACCAATAAACGAATCCCCATCAGGGTCGTTCCTCTTATGCCTTGCATTTTCATTCATGTCATACTGGAGGAAAGATTAAACTCAAAAATAGTTAAAGGGTTGGTTCACTCATGTCGTTCCCAACCCGTAAGACACTGTCAGAGACTGACATAGAAGAGATGTTTGTTTTTATTGCACACAAAAAGTATACTTCATAACATTTAAAGTCGGCTTGTAATCAAATTTGACAAATCTTCATTTTCTATGTAATATTGTAGTGTTTATTATAAATGATTTATCTGTGCACTTCATTATTTCAAAAAAAAAAAAAAAATCATGTATCCTTTCTAATCTTTAATCAAATACATTACCCTTCCCTCCCCCATTGAAATGACCTCTCTTCTATTTCGGTCACGTGGAATGGCGAAAGGGTGCGGCCAGATCCGATGAGAGTACGGAGAATCGCATTGAAATCTGCCACCATTTTGTTTGCAACGCCCAACCTCCAACGATCCAATCAATTCCCGAAGGACGAAATCAAGGTTTCACTCGGATATACGTCACAACAAGGAAAAAATGACAATCTCAACTTCCGTTTCACACCGACTTTAAGGTTGAACCACTGTAGTCACATGGACTATTTTACCAATGTATTTACTACCTTTCTGGACCTTGAAAGTGGCAATTACATTGCAGTCTATGGAGGGACAGAAAGCTCTCGGATTTCATCAAAACTACCTTCATCTGCGTTCCGATGATGAACGAAGGTCTGACGGGTTTGGAACGACACGAGGGTGAGTAATTAATGACAGTTTTTTTCGAGTTTCATTTTTGGGTGAACTAACCCTTTAAAATGGAAAACGTAAAAAAAAAATGTCATTCACTCATTACATTAATCAGTAATTTTTCGTTTTAATTTTTCTCACAATTTAAGCTACAGTTTGAAAATGGTAAAAGCCCCATAAATGTAGCCTCTTTAATTCTTCTGAAGTTATACAATAGTTTTATGTGAAGAACTGAAATTTACATCGTCTGACAATTATTACCATAACTGTGAAATCTTGCACTCATTTAAGCATTCAAAAATTGCAGTCATGAGGCATTATGACAAGTTTGATACAAACGATGGGTCTTGTGATCGACTGTGATATGCCAAAGTTTACGACAGATCTTTTTGAAAGATTTAAACTCAGAATGTTGCACTTGGGATTTGTTTTAAAGGGTTTTAATTGCCCGATATTTCTGCGAGTCTGAAAACCGATTATAAAAGCAAACATATTTTTAAAACCGTTTTCAAATGGCTGGAGAACAGGAATAACCCATATGCAAGCTGTCCTATATGCAAGCTACCTCTAGTTGAAGAAAATCACCTGATCAGCCTCAATACTGTCATTCTTAGAGCGAACAAGTACTGTAATGTAAAATATTCTGGATTTTGAAGTCTAGGGAACTAAAGATCTAACCAGAGATGAGCTAGCCTTTTAATAATTTAACTGCACTTTAATAAGACATAAATAAGCTTTTGATTTAGATGTACTTGATTATAAGAGAAGAGATGTATAAAAGATGTCTTGGTTCAAATAATTAAAGTGCAGGTAGTTTTTGTATGAAAGTTGTTCGGCATAAAAAAAAAAAAAAAAGCAAAACAGCCGACAGTATGAAGACTTTTAAGCATGATGGTTAATACTTTTGTTCCTTACCCTTAACACCCCTGAGCTAAAGTGTAGTTAAAATATAGAAAATATCACTTTTGAGCAGCTTATGTTAGGGGGCTCAGTATATATCATTTATCAGTGGTCTCATCCTGCACCCTATTTTATGTGGCTCATTGGGTCAACCTGAAACATGTAAAGCACTATGACAGATATTTCATACTCTAAATCACGTATTGACAATATGGGGCATGACAAGCAAACGAGAGCAGCCTTGTATCTGTATTGTTTCCTACAAGTTATGTGGAAAAAGAAGTTCAGCTTGATACTGATACTGAATTGTGCAAATAAGTTATAAGCTTCATACATCATGTTTTAATACATAGATAATAAATATGTTCTGTTATACAGATCTCTTTTCCTGTTCTTATAACAGTTATCCTCAACAGACTGTCGCTCAACCATCGTCTGTCTAGGAACACTTGGAAGGGGCTGGCTAATCCACTACGATATGAGGCACTGTGTCCAAACAGCATATCAGGTTGACAGGACCCTTTCACCCAGAACGTTTAAAACAACAAAAAGATACATGAGAACCCACAGTCTGATCAGACCAAATCAAACCATACCCCTTTACTCCTGGGCTCCGTTCTCACTGTTACCTGTATGACAAAAGAAGAGAGCTAGTTAAACCAGTGTCAACCATGAATAAAGCAGAAACTCAAAATTCAAAACTCAAATGTATCTAGCACAGCCCTAAAAGGAGTAGTTCACTTTAAAAAAAAAAAAAAAAACTTTTGCTGATAATTTACTCACCCCCCATGTCATCCAAGATGTCCACGTCTTTCTTTCTTCAGTCGAAAAGAAATTAAGGTTTTTGATGAAAACATTACAGGATTTTCTCCATATAATGCACTTCAGTGGGAACTAAACAGTTCAAGGTACAAATTAGAGATTCAGTGCAGCTTCAAAGGGCTTTAAATGACACCAGACAATGAAAAAGGGTCTTATCTAGCGAAAAAAAAAATGGTCATTTAAAAAATAAATAAAAAAGTTTAAGTTTTATAAGCACAAATGCTCGACTTGCTCTCTTCTGTGATGAGCGTTCGTGACTTTCCTGTTCAAACTTGTTCATCAAAATGAACAAATCTTTTTTCGAGACATGACTCGAAGGGTCCTAGATAAGACCCTTATTCATCATCTGGTGTCATTTAAAGCCCTTTGAAGCTGCACTGAAACTCTCATTTGGACCTCGAACCATTTGGTTCCCACTGAAGTGCATTATATGGACAACATGACATCACGAGTCAAGTGGCGTGTTATCTCTACACATTTTGAGCTATCCGCGTGTATGTCTACGCCATTAACGTCCGAGTGATTCCGTGTGTCTGTACACGCCGTCAAATGTCCAGTCATAAATGCCATTAACCCCAGTGATGGTTAGGTTTAGGGACAGGGTTGAGGTAAGTCATATATTTACAGTAATAACGTTAAGTCAAAGGTGTTCATAAACATGCTGAAAATCGATTACGCCAAAAATGGAAATACGAATTGGCGTGTCATACACGCGCTACTTCATGAGATCAGTCTGATATGGAGAAAATCCTGGAATGTTTTCATCAAAAACCTTAATTTATTTTCGACTGAAGAAAGAAAGACATGAACATCTTGGATGACATGGGGGTGAGTAAAAAGCAAAAGTATTTTTTTTAAGTGAACTACTCCTTTAAATGCCTAAATTATATCAATAATGTGTTTATGTGAAGAAGTGCAGAGCTAAACTAACCTCCCATGGAGTCCGTGTCAGAGTCAGACACTTGCGTAATGGAGAAACGGGAGACCCTAAATCGGGAAAACGGTGGTACTGGTTTTTCGTCTGGAGACTTGATGGGAGAGTTGGGGGGAGTAGTGATTTCTTCAGAGCCAGGTTCTGATGTTGAAGGGCTCGGCATCAATGGAAAATCATCTTGCCACTCGCATTCACCACCTTTTTAGGGTGAGAGGCTTGTGAAATTTGACTGAATGAGAGGTAATACCAATGCAAAGATCTAGTCAATGTAGAAGAATTGTTATTGAACACCCACTTTCTTCTGGGAAATTCCTTCCTAGTGAATCCTCAGGGGCAGTGACCCTATCATGGGGTTGTGGTAGCTCCACCTCTGAAGCCTGGCCGTTAGGTTCTGCATCCACAGGAAAACTGTAGTCTCCAAGCTCACCCGTGGGGCTCTCCTGCACAATACACAGCAAGACACAAACTTCGAGTCAGATTAGCATTGCACAAATCAGTCTCTTTTTGATAACATGATACTTGATGCTCTACCTTAAAACTACAAGAGATAATTCAACAAACCTGGTCAAACAGAAACACAGTGACGTCATCAAAGAATGACACCGCTTTTTTCTTGCTCTCCAGTTCATCGCAGAAGGACTGCGTAAGTATGGAAGGCATTTTAAGGAGGCTGCGTAGATGCCGTGCGCTGCTGCGGTCGCTCACGATGACGGGCACCACGGGGAACTCGTCATCACTCTCATCACTCTGCTCCTGTATGTTGTAGCTACGAAGTTCATCAGATTCATCACTATCCTCAGAATCCTCCTCATCTGCCTCATCCCCATTTCCCAGTGGAGCTGGGACATCAAGGTCTTCTGGTAAGACTGGAAGAATATTCTCCAAGGAATCATCACGCTTTGGTGTGGAAAAAGCTTGACCACCACCTTCCACTGAATCCTCATCTTCCTTTTCCTCATTGTGTCCTTCCCTTGGAAGTTCTGTATTGTCCACTTTGTTACAGGCCTCTTGGTCTTCTGCTTGGATTATCTCCCCACTGAAATCTACTATGACACAGTCTGCACCTAGTGACTCTGCTGAGGAAAAATCTCTGTTAGATGGCTCCTCCACACCCGAGGCCTCCTGTGTCGTGGAGGAACCTTCCGACACTGTGGAAGAATGGCATTCAGAGTTTGGTTCCTCTCCAGAATGATCAGATTCCAGCCCAATACCATCATCTGGAGTTGACTCCTTGGTCAAGCATCCCCCCATCTCTGGAGGAAAGGGAGAAAGCATGGAAATCATTGGCACCAATGTAGGTGATGAACACAGATTTGGATTTGTCTTAAGACACAATTGTTTAGTATGAAGGGCTGAATTGTTGTCCTTTGGCACAGAGATGTTACTTCCCCTCTCACTCTCCATGCAATGTCCTTCTTTCCCAACGGTCTTTTCTGCTTCGAGTCTAAAGACATCCTCCTCGTCTTGGCAATTGAAAAAGTTGCTTCCCCCTACACTGGGGCTCTTGTCATTCTCCGTGTCATAGTCAGAAAAATAAGCAGAGTCTCTGTACTGATTCCTCTCACCAAGGCTGATCAGTGGTGGATGACTGCTGGGTGGATGTAGGAGCATTACATCGACATCATCATCTAGGTCCATCTGGAGCACCATGTCACACTCATCTGATTCTACACTGGTGCTAAGGGCTGGATTCCCTTCAAGGTCTTTCAAGATAAACTCTGGGGATTCGTTGTTCTCTGTGTCATAGCCACTGTCTAGGGATTTCGGCTGAATGGGTGTGTGATAACTATCAGGACTGAAGGCCTCACATGGACTGCTGCTAGAGGCAAGATTTATTGTGTCCTCACAGTGTCTGGACCCAGTCTCCCTCTGTAACGCTCTGTGAGTCAATTCAATATTGCCCACCTCTGCGTAGTCCAAGGGGTAATCTGTAATAACTCCAGAGGGGATGTCAGTGCAGTCATTAATTTCCACCAGACTGATACTAGAGTTGTTGGGCACCATCCTGCTGTCTGTCAAAAGGTTACACTCTGAGACACTCTTAGACAGATCCATTTTTACAAACACTCCAGCAGAACCATCTGTCCCAAGTTTAATTTTTTGTGCAGGGGATATCCTTGTCTCGAGTAACATTTTGTCTTTAGTCACTACAATATCCGTTGGAAGAGTTGATGGATTCATTCTGCTGTAACCTCCTACATGTAATTCTGATGTATTGTTTTTGATATGTTTATGAGCAATGTTCTTCTGCCGTGTATAAATATGCTGACTTTCTGTGACAGAATGACATTTGGAAGATGATTCAACATCCTGAGTACCTTCAGGGCATAAATGTAGGTACTCACCACCCTCTGCGTCAGTGTGAGGGTTGCTAGTGGTGGGTGTACTATCTGTGGCTTCCAAATATGAGTGGACTTTGAGAGAATCTGCATAATTATATGTACAACTGTTGCTTGTTTCCAATTCTCTTGATTTAAAATTTCCGACATGAGAAGAGGGTGTTGGATGACGTAAATCAAGATATGCATCTCGAAATCCCACACCTTGCGTACGATCGCTTAAACTGTTGTTGTTTGCTGAGTGGTTGGAGTTCCAGTTAGTCAACATGTTCTGAGAAAACAGATCATCATCATCATCATCTTCTTCTGGATTGGCACTCCCCATGCCCAAAAGAAGGCCATCACCGGCATCAATATCAATACTCATGTAGTGGGGTCTAGGAACATTCTTTTGAACAGGGCCCATCATGTCATAATAGGCCTCGTTGGCCGTACTTTCTGCGGTTCTCTGGTTAGATTCAAGGTATGGATCACAATATGCCAAGCTGGGACTACTAAGAGAGACTGAAATGCCAAGTGGGCTTTCCTGTACTGCCTCAAGTCTATGGCAGAGACTTCCCGACCCTCTCTGCTGCTGACCATACTCTCTTATCAAATGAACATCTGGCCCTGCTTGAGGTGACTGTTCACACTGTAAATTGTGCCTGTCATTAGAAGAAAAATGGGTTTCTGACTGGTCAGTCTCTACCGAGTTTGAAACTCTTCTTTGGAGTGGCTCCATGTTTAGGCTACTGTCTGAATCATAATCATTACTGATGGATTCTTTAGCTGCTGACCAGTAGGTGTTTGGCAGAGACTCAATTGGGCTCCTCCTGTCCATTGAAGACAAGCTGCTGTTGCTGGCTTCAACTCTTGGGCTGTAATCAAGATTGGTGTCTTCTAAGTTGATGTTGCACTCAACTGGTTCCTCAATGCGGATGTAGTACTCACTACTTACTGAGGGGCTGTGTGCACTCAGCACTGGAACCACCCCTGGATGGTCAGACTCATAGTAGGATGGAGAGACTCCGAGAGGGAGGCTCTCGCCCTTACAGCTACCTGTGGATTTGCTATGAGGGTAATAAACATCCTGGTAGTGGGGATTATTCTTTCCCAATGGTCCACTAGCTGAAGAGGAGCAGTAGGGCTGCTCAGCTTGTGCCTGCTCCCATTTATACTCAAAGTTGAGCCCATGGCTGGTCTCAGTTACTGTCAATATGTCGTCACCATTCTCAGACTGGAAGCTGTCTGCCATTGAGAAGTGTTCAAGTAGAGGAAATGAAGAGGAAGTGGAAGAAGCTACTTCAGGTACAGGTGTCCTGTGAGAGCTGTTAGAGCCCAGACTTGGCCTGAGAGAGTTCCAGCGCTGCTCAAAGTCCTCCTCAGCCTCAGTGGTACCCTTAGCACACAGATAACTTAGCAGTAGATGGACTTCCTCCACGACAGGTCTCTGCTCAGGCTGCAGCCAACAGAACTGCATTACCTCATACCTGCTCACACACGTGACAGAAAAGCAAGTATTTTAGACCCTTAACTAATATCTGTCAGAAAAATAATGTATTGATTGTAAAAGATCAGAATTGGTTCTATACAAACTATATTATATTTTTTATTCAAAAACCCAAAACGCATATTTTCTTGGCACCTAGTGATTTATGAGTAGCACAGTTTGGATCCTCTATTGTGTTGTTTATGTTACAGTATGGACAATAGCCAGAAAACCATTAAGTGATTGGTCAGTTTAGCGTGATGGTAGCCTTGCAGTCTTAAAATATGGTCATTCATTGTTTAGTATCCCTTAGGGGGTGGAGTGGTATAGTTGTATGCATGACTGTTATTGATTAAATGGACAATGATTGGAGTGTGTGAGATTAAAATGAATGACTGTGTGCTTCCAGGACTGGATAAATATATGATTGACCACAGTGGATTTGAGCAGTATTGATTTGTTGGTCTTGCCAGAGAAAAATGGTAATGACTGGCGGAAGCGCCTGTGGTTGGAAAACATTCATTGCTTTAGATGTATTGAAAAGAAAAATGATTTTGTGGGCGTGTCTCTGGAGGGGAACATTGATTGGTTGAATGTGGTGATGGGGGTCAAGGGAGTCATGGTTGGCAGACGGAAGGGGATGGGCAGTTCATAACAAGGACTTGGGACTTGTGAGACGACTCACCAGCGTTCGCACAGAGGCACTTTCAGCAGGGGCTTTGGCAGTTTGAGCTGTTGTTCCTTTACAGCATATGTTAAAACCTGCCTATCAGAATAGTGCCTGTAAGGCTGGTTCCCCAGTTCAAACAACTCCCATATTGTCACACCAAGTGACCTGCAGGGTCAAAAAAGAGTCTGTTAGAGAGTAAGGAAATTATTTTAAAGTAAATAATATTTCTTAAATTCTGGGTTAAATTTTACACACATATGTTAGTATGTCTCAGGGCAGAGGTTTTCCACCTTTATTGGTACACTTCAGGAAATCACAGGCTGCAAATTATGTGAGGAATTTTACCTTCATGAGAGGCGCTGAGCTTGTGTGTAATACACTCCAGTATTATAATTAAAAGCATGCTTATGTCAGCGAAATATTACCACAAAATAAGTATGCAAATAAGTGGTAGTTCTGCATTCGCCATTTGTGGCATTCTGATTGTTATGCTGAGTTCACCTTTGCATCCAGGTTACATTTTAGTAAACATATCATGTAATCCCCAGTGACCTTAAGATTGAGAATCTCTGTCGTAGTGTTTTTCTCTGAATCATTTCTCACCAGACATTGCTATCCTTGGTTTGGTCCACAACTAAGAGATTGCCGTGGACTTCATCGATAAGTTCTGGGGCAATCCAGCGTAGAGGAACCCATATTTGATCTGCTGTTACATAATAGTCATCCTAACAAGGGAAAAGGATGCATTGATATTGAAAATGAGGAAATGCTGAGACAATGTCAAAATAATAGGATCAGCATAACTGCAATTGTTATAGCCTTCACAGACTCACCTTGTACTTACTGTGGCTGAGGCCATAGTCTCCAATTTTCACTGCCAGCTCTGAGGTCAACAGGCAGTTCCTAAGGGCCAGGTCACTGCGAACAGGACAGAGTGGAGCAATGTTTGCATCATTTATAGTTCTTGTCATTAGCAAACCTACAGGGTCATCTCACATTTTCTTCATGGGTAACTTACAAATAATTGATGGTGTTTGTTGAGTGAGGGGTTTTCCCCCAGCAACAAAATCACTGATGCTGGAGTCTGTGACATGTACTCAGGCAGCACCAGGATATTGTTGCCAGGAGACACCAGAGCTGGACGTCCAGTGAGCGGCGGGGTGAAAAATAAGTAAAATATTTAATATGCGGGGAAAAGGCCAAAGGCTAGTGGATTCTGACCTGTGAATGTAATTGTGTTTGTGAAGGTACAGAAGACCAGAAGCAATCTCGCAAGCCATCCGCTGAAGGATCAAAGGGTCAGGGGTCACTGAGTCTGTGGCCCGACAGCTTCGTAGGTATCCTTTAACATCACCCTGTATACAGCAAACATAATTCGAATGATCAACACATGAATGCTAATGTGTGTTATAATACATATCATACAGCTACAGTGTGTTTTACCTTTAATGGGATATTTTTGGAAATAGGCTAATTTAGTTTCACCGTTTTCAAATACATTCAGCTGATTTTTTTGATAATTAGAAGAATATCAGTAACCAGACAGTTTCTGGTCTCATTGACTTCCATAGTAGGAAAAAAATATATACTATGGAAGTCAATGAGACCAGAAACTGTCTGGTTACTGATATTCTTCTAAGTAGCAGAAAATCGGCTGAATGGATTCGAAAACGGTAAAACTCAACAGTTTAACTCTGGGGGAGCTGTAAAATGACTGTAATCATTTTACTGTAATTCTGGTACCATTACCGTGTCAATTTGTAACACTGCAAATTTACAATTTTTAATATGACCAGGAGAGGGAGCATTAAGCTGTTTAATAATCCCTATTCTAAGCTCCGTCCCTTTTGGATGCTCAGACCAGCTTTACAGAAACATCACGGCAAGTGGAAAAAACGGAAAGATTATTATTCATTTCTGTGTTGGAATGAAACAAAGCAATGCTGTTTTTCTTAAATTGTTGAATGATGCCATAAAAATTGTTAAAAGTCCCCGTGAAATCAAAATTGAACCTATTTACTTTGTTAGCGCATATTACTAGTCTTGTGGTGAACAATTAATCTGTGCAAGTGAATATATATTAAAAAAATGTTTTATGTTTATGTTAAATGTTAATGGACTTTAAAAGTGCTAAGACTGAAATAGGTAACAAGACAAATACCCAGCATAGTCATAATAAAAACTAATTTGATGGTGTTCCTAATGTTATGGTACAATGAACACTTTATTTACTATTACCTGTAGAATAACTACATATGGATCAATACATAAATTACATTTTAGGAAAGTTATAAAGATTACAAATGCTGCATGTTCATTTGGGAATGAGGGTTTAATACACAGCATTAACTTATCAATATTTACATAAAATAATGCATGCATCCTCTCTACTCTTTGGGTTCCATGTTTTTGCTGTTATAAGTGAAAAGTTTGACTTTATTTCTCTTGCATTATTATGCATTTAAAAATTCAAAAATCCAAAATGAGAAATTTAAAATGCAAACACAGACTCTCCATTGACTTGTATGAGAAAAGAACAAAAGTCTGATTATATGGCAAGCTACGATTGGACAGTAACATTTTGAAGGTATGGCTTACCAAAGGGTTGCTTTTTCTTGAATTATGGTTTCTTGTTTTCGTAAAAATACTTGGAAAAAAAATAGGGATGCTACTTCAATAAATCATATTATAATTGATATAAGGCTGCTGACTGCTGGTTAACATTCTGAAGGGTAGGCAGACCGACTCAGAGTGTGTTCTGAGTACAGTTAGGGAAGTGAGAAAATGGTATTCGGTGGCTTACCAGGGGACAGTGCTCCATAACCAGCAGGTAGGGCGTGACTTCTGAACACTGGGACAGACACTGCAGGAGGGCTGGATGCTGGAGCACCCTGTAAGATCCACACATTCCACCATCAAAACACTGCTCACACAAGAAACAGTGTAGTAATACATTTCAAATAAGAGCTATCGTTAATAACAAAAGATGAGGTAAGACGGTGAATACCGGTAAGGTTGGACTTCTTCCAGGAACTGCATCTGCTCCTGTACACTGGCACTGGCCTTCAGCTCCTTAACCACCACCTGTGTAGTGCTGAGTCCAGCATTCACCTCCCCGAGCAACACCTGAAAGCCAGCCCAAAGCACACATTCACACTGAGGAAATGGCTCCCACCAGCCACCTGTGAAACTGGCAGCACAGATTTACAAAAGAGTCTACATTTGCGTGTTATTTATCTCAAACTGTTCGTTTAACGGTAGCTCATAATGAGATCACGACCACATTGCACTGTGCTATGTTTAATATCAACTCCATGCTGCTGGTTTCTTGTTGAAAGCCCCCCTGATGTTATGGCTTGGGTTATAAAAGGTCTTACCTTGCCAAACCAGCCATGTCCCATTTCTTTTATGTAGAGGAGGCTGTGGCGTCCGAGGTCTGTAGACTTCAGGAGCTGAACTGAGGGGAAACGGAGAGAAAACATGCATTCAGAGATGGCAAAAGTGGACACAATGGACGGTCTGATTCTGAATGTTACCAAACAATGGAAAAGTGACAATATCCAGGGAGGCACAACCACAAGAACCATGGTTATCTGCTTAAACTGCCTCTTCTATTACCACGTCTAGATGCAAAATGGATCATATTCTGTGGAAGTCGACACAACTTCCAAATACCTTAAACCATGATGATTCGGCAGATTAGATACAGCGACGAAGAGCAGCTCTCTTTGTTTGGCAGAAAACCGTGGGATGAAGTTTCGACGATGCTGCGAAATGGAGCTGCCGTTCTCCATGCCTCCTTCCAAGCTCCAGGGGTTTAACCCTCCAAGCCCTCGGACAGCTGAGAAAGCAGCGCTGTCTTTCTTCGTTCCCAGAGACAGAGCTCGTTTTCTCGCTCCGAGATATGGTGTTCCACAACATTCCCATAATGCACCCGGCTTGAACTCTCAGCTGGAGCCAACTCAACTTGAAGCTGCGGTAAAACTGGCGACTCGAGCTGAGATCAGTGTTTAAAGTGTCCCTCACCAGGAGCTGGACGTATGTCTGCTCTGCACATGCCAAATGCATCTGCTCACGCAAGCAATGCCATGAGCACATAATGACCCTCGCTCCTCTGCCCGTCCCTTCCCTCGGTCTATCTCAGCAAGACTATTGTAAACAAATAAAGCACTGTGAGCAGCAGAAAGACCTCTGTCATTAACACGAGCCCCACACACACACACACACACACCTCCTCCTGCGCTACGAGCAGGTCTCACAGACCCATCCCTGTATTAATGCACTAAACTGTTCTCCTCCTCTGCAGCGTTCCAGAAGCTTCTCATTCCAGCCCCTCACACTCCCCGCCACAGTTACATTGTGGCTTTTGTCCGCAGAGCAGCAGCGCCTGGTACCCCAGTACCAGCCCAGACACAAGACCCATTCTCTGCTGCTCAGAGCCAGGATTGTCACAGAAATGACCCCCCCTCCACCTCCCATTCCTGACACACAACTATCTCTCTTTTCTTCAGCAGACTTGAACTGGCCTTTTATATGATTTCTGTGGAATCTGTGAGTTGTGCATTCCTGACCCACTCCTGGCATTCCCACAGCAGCCCTGGGCCATGTTAAAAATGCATTAAAACACAGCACAATTGCACGAGAAGACTCAGGCTCGCCTATGATTGCCCATGGGCTGGAAGAGAAACTCTACTTAATATGTCGACAAACGATTTCAGAACGAGTAAAATTGCAAACTTAACTGAATGAGTGAGCGCTGAGATAAACATTTTTGCGTGAACTTTCAATATGGAAGAGAAAATATTCCTACGTCAAATTTGTCGATTTATTTATAACAGTGTTGATGCTGGTATAGAACCAGCATGGTAGATAAATAGAGCTGAATGACGGTATAGCATGCAAGGTTCGAAATGTAATCAGCCATTACTACACCGTTTAGGATATGTATTGCAAAGGATGGCATACATTATTTACATCTTTTGAAAGAGAGACAAAGAAATATATAAAACATGTCCAATATGATGAGGGTTAACTTATTAAGGAGTGTTGTTTGGCAACGTTGGTAAGCAGGTTTTAGTTGTTCATGGCATTGAGAGCAATGTCTCGTCTATAAGCTATTTGAACACCTTTGAATTTGTGTCTGATATTAATTTTGCTGTTTAGTCTGTAAAGGGATAGTTCACTTTGAAATTAATTTTTGATATGTTTTAGCTTACCTAAAGGGCATCCAACATGTAGGTGTCTCTGTTTCCACAGTATTCCACAGTATAAGTCCAAATTAGACATGATTTAATGACTCGTAAATGTAAGTACACATTGATGGCCTAAGACACGAAACGAGCGGTTTGTGTGAAAAAACTAACAGTATTTATATCGTTTTTACCTCTTGTAATCACAGCCATGTCTAAGTGATCTGAAGGCACGGGCGCTTAGGTCTGCGCAAGCACCGGAAAGCGCCGGAAGTGATCTCTCACGCGGTTACGGAAAAAAAATCAATGTTGTCTGTTGATACAGTATATCGAAATCGTCTTCCGTTGCAATTTCCTGTATATCTAATTATGTTTAGATGTTCACGGTGAAGGGTAACACTTCTGAAATCTCTGTGTAAACAATGAGTGACGTACACGCTCGAGAGATTGCTTCCGGGGCTTTCCGGGGCGCTCACCCTCAGAGTACTTGGATGTGACTGTGATTACAAGAGGTAAAAACGATATAAATATTGTTTGTTTTCTCACACAAACCGCTCGTTTCGTGTCTTAGGCCATCAGTGTGTACTTACATTTATGACTTCTCTGTGAATGCTCTTTGAGGTGTTGACCATAGACCTGCATTATATGACTGACAGACAAGAACGGTTTGACCAAAAAGACACCTACAAATTGGATGCCCTTGAGGTAAACTAAAACATATCAAAAATTCATTTCAAAGTGAACTATCCCTTTAAAGGTAGGCAACTTTGGAGAGGCTAGCAATAACGAGCTAGTTTTGAAAGCATGAGATCCCACCCACCCATAATTTTGCCATTAACACGTAATTCTGAGGACGTGAACAGCTCCGACTAGAACGTCATGGGTTGCCATCTCTTAATTACGGCAATTACGACATGGTGTGAATTATTGCGTGGGAGGTATGCAAATACATATGTTGACAGGCAGGAAAGACATCCTATCATTGCTTTCGGACCGCAACCGAATGCAATGATTGGACAAAGTTTTTTTTTTTTTTTTTTTGGTCTTCCACAGAAGATGTACATGTTTTAATATTTAGACCACTTCTATTATTGATTTATATCGGGACGTAAAGACGGTTTAAAACAGTAGAACCAAAAGTGTTTATGTAAAAACATTGCCTATCCTACCTTTAACTAAAATGATATTGTATATAAAGTCATACCGTTTTTGTCAGTGATTTATTAATAAACATATTATGTCTAAGTTCCAAATAAAAAGAGAACATGATCTAATCAAATGATGTAGCTTTAATAAATAGTGTGTAATTTACTAAATTCCCCCAAAATAGTCATTACCACTTGGTTATTAAATATAATAATAAAGGTCCCACTTTATATTAAGTGGCTTTAAGTACCATGTACTTACATTGAAATGAATAATTTGATACAATGGACTTATTGTGTACTACATACGTGTTTTTACATTGTACTTATATTTTAAAAATAATTCATAAATAAATAAAATTAATTTATGTAATTACATCTGTAATTACACAGCTGACCCATCCCTTACACTTAAACCCACCCTTAAACCTACCCATACCACCACACCTGTCCCAAACCTTACCCGTATCACACCTCAATAGCAGCAAAAGTGATTTACAATACAACATGACCACAATAAGTACATTGTACTTATTTTCAAATGTAAGTACATAGTACTTAAAGCCACTTAATATAAAGTGGGACCAATAATATTATTAAATTTAAACTCACAATAAAATCTAATTTGACGATATTCATATTTTTGTGGGAATGCTTCAGTTAATTCTGAATGATTTATCTGTACACAAAGAATATTAAATGACAACTAAAAACATTAACATGAAAATTGCAACTATTAGCAAATTTCAACAATCCAGAGATCAAATAAATTCCCAAATGAACAAAATGAAGTCTTGCGTGTTTTAAGGTTTGGGAAGCTGAACTTGTAACGGAAAGAAAAGAATCAAAATGTCCAACTAAATTGTGATATACATTATAGAGTTATTATGTTTGTTACATACTCGCTCAACAATTGGTAGAGAATGTTGGGTTCAATTCCCAGGGGAAATAAATAGAAATGTTTCCCTTAAACCAGGGTTTCTCAACCGTCCCTCAAGGGTCCATTGTCCTTCAGAGTTCAGCTCCAACCCAAAACAACAGGGCCAGAGTTGAGAAACCCTGCCTTAAAAGTCCTATATACTACTTTGAATTAATTTGCTGTTTATGGACAACTTTTTTTCCTGATTCTCCATGCTCAATCTTTTTCAGATTGAAGCTTATGTCACAGTCAGTGAAAACCTGGAAATGTAGTTTGGGAGGGAAAAAAACACTAGGGACATTCAATTGTGGGGGTTTTACTTCATTGCATTCAGTCAAGTGTTAATTTACGGCTCTTTGCATTCATACAAAATGATTGAGGATGAAGAAGAGGAAGAGAGTGGGAGAACGAACGGAAAGGGAGCGGTCCAACCATGACCGAGCCCTTCTCAATATCATGAGGGACTCAGTGCTACCCTCTCGCTCTGCAACACCTGGACCAATCACATAGCCGTAACCACGGGCGACGAACAGTCCAGAGGCTATTGGCTGACTGCTAAATCTCTTTTGTCCAATCCCTGCTTTCATTCCAGCATCCCGCTGTCTCCCCCACCCTCTGATGCTCTGCGCAGACAGAGAGTGTGAGTCATAGGGAGAAAACCTGACTCGCACGGATTCGCCCACGACAGTCAGCCATTGAGCTGTTGGGTTTGATTTGAGGCAAAATTACAAGTAATACACTCAGTAGATTTGTATCATTTGTTGTTTGCCTGTGCAAAACTCACTGCCAAGCCATTTGTGAGCTGTGGCCAGGGTGTTACCAAGCAATTACTATGGTTTTAGGTGACTATTCAGATGGTAAATATCCCACTAAGGCTTGTTTTTCAAATCTGATATTTGAATTGGCTGTTCAATCAGCCATCAATCAATGCTGTCATTTTGATCAGATCAGTTTGTTTATCAGCATACATGTATCAGCGTTTGGTGTATATACAGTACATTGATAGCAGTGCATTATTGGTTTGGAAAGATAGGATAGACTTGTTGACTTATTCTCAACTTAGTCAATGTCACATGGTATATGACTATAGAGTTAGTAAAAATGACACAGACAATTTTGGGCACTTTCAGTTATGTTGCATAGACGTTATGTCCCAAATTATGAAAAACTACTCATCTAGGTGTTCAGATTGAGACTGAAAAAATTAATGTGATTTGATTAGGTTTCCTATCCGGCCTGCATCGGGTACATGTGGATTCCACGCGGCCCAAATGTGGCCCTGATCTGAGCTGACACTATGTTAATGTCTGGGTTGTTGTAAATTAAGGACGCATTAATTTAATGCATCCTATCTAAATAAAAGTATTCATTTAAAAAAAAAAAAAAACTTCCACCCCAAATATGAATCAATTTATCTCTTCTAAAGAGAGGAAAATGTATAGCCAATCTGGGTTTTGGAAACATCTGTTTCATATCTATTGAAATATTGTTGGTAAAACAGCTTCATTTCCATCTGTACTCTCTAGTGCTCCATGCATTTATAACTTCCTTTCCTTTCTGCATTCCAGTTCACATGCATCCATCATGCCAGGAGTCCTCTGGGCCGATCTCACGGCGCATTATGCAACTGACAGATGTGTGTTCTGCATCCAAAGACGGTTCGCTCTCCACCCCTCTCTGCACTGTGAGAACATAAACAAGGCCATTGCTCTTTCTCCGGAACCATCCGTTCACAATGGGCACAGAGAGAGGTCCTGTTCTTTACTCTTCCTGTCACAAGGCCACTAGGAATGTGAGGGACAAATATCAGCGTAGTGTGGCACTTCACTTCCAGTATTGTTTATTAACGAGAAACACAACCAAGCCTACAATGCGTGAATGCACAGTGTCCACAATAATGAGCTATAAACACTTCTGTTAACACACAGTGTCCATTAAGGCCTTGATATACTTCAAACGAAATAAAAGAATGAACCATTTTGGACAAAATCAGGCCAAAACAAAGTTCGTTTCAAGAGTTGAAACAGTTAGGATTTTACCATTTTCGAATCCATTCATTATGATTTTCTAATATTTCGAAGAATATCAGTAACCAGACAGTTTCTGGTCCCATTGACTTCCATAATAGGAAAAAATATACTATGGAAGTCAATGAGACCAGAAACTGTCTGGTTACTGATGGTCCTCTAAATATTAGAAAATTGGCTGAATGGATTCGAAAACAGTAAAACTCAATTGTTTAACTCTGGGGGAGTTGTAAAATGAGCCTATTTCCAAAAAAAAGTGGAGTATCCCTTTAAGAGGAAAGAGCGGAGTACATTTTTACATATTCAACTAATGCAGCTCTCAGCAGTTAGGTGGCGTTGGGATGTTTGCTAACACAGCGTTTTCAACTTCTTCGAACTTTTTCGAACTTCCCTTGAACGAAGAACTAAAACGGACTTAGTATATCACCGCCTGTAGGCTGTAAGTCTACTTTAAATCATGTTTTCCATTAAAACATGTCAACTTGGGCAGTCTTCTTGTGGTTGCCGGCATGTTGAATCACATGACCAGCACTGGTTCCATGAAAAAACACATTCTTCAAAACATGAGTAAGTAAATAATGAAGAAAACGATTCGATTCTTACATGACTTGCCGGGCTGTTTGGACACAGGTAGTGAGACCTCCGTGAGAGGCAGGATATAAACCTCAGGGTCGTTCTGAGAGCTGGGGGAGGCTAAAGTGGAAAGGTTAGCTTGGCCCTCCTCCCCCTCTGTATTTTCAAACTCCTGCAGGGAACAAAAGCACAGAAAATCAATGATACAAGTCAGACACAAGCAGGAAATTTAGAGTGACGGTATTACTTCAGCACTATTACTTTACACATACTGGGAAATTAATATGGAATTTTAATGGTCTCTTTTGTCACAGTATGATGGCGGATGGAAGTCTCTCGTGTGTAGGGTTGGGTATCGAGAATCGAGTATCGATTGGAATCGGGACTAACTTTTCGTTTTTCCCGGAATCGTTCAAAAGTTAAAATTTTGATTCCTAGTTTCGATATTCACAGTCCACCGAGCGGAAGAAGAAACCGCTGAACAACACCAACAAAGAAGCGTCTACTGGAAGTGTTGCCATAACCGCGCGTGTCGAACATGAGTAGCTTACGTCGGCGATCCAAAGTGTGGCTTCACTTTTCTAAAAATAACGAAATCTCGGCAAATAACGAAATCTCGGCAAAATGCAAAATTTGTGACAAAAGGAGTATTTGTGACAGGAGTATTTCCTTCAGAAAGGATTATTTCCTTCAGAAAGACCGTTGGTTGGCAAGGTTAGTTAAACTTTTTTGACCCTGCCTCTTAAAAGAATCGGAATCGAGAATCGTTAGGAACCGGAATCGAAACAAGGAATCGGAATCGGAATCAGAATCGTTCAAATTCAAACGATACCCAACCCTACTCGTGTGTTAATTCTTGTGTTGTGAACGCAGGATGTCAAATTTTGAAAATTGAGCAATCATTTGCTTGAACCCAATAACCTAAGGGTATTCAGCTCCACACAGCTACACATATTGGCTCATTCTCACACAGTCTGACTATTGCTGAGCGTCTGTGACTGGAAAATGAATTTTAGTATTGTATTTGATCTGCATTTAGATTTGGGTAGTAAACAAGATGCAAAATTCTCTATTTATACAGTATACACACATATATATGTATGTATGCGTGTGTGTTTCAACGAAAACCACGCATTAATACAGAACTGCTTGGAACTTCCAGCCAATCAGAAACGAGTATCGAGACAGACCATGGTACAATTTGAATTTAAAGTAATATTTCAGTATTCAAAATGCTGTCTGTAGAAATTATTTAATTTGAAATATTTCATTATATTAAATACAGTATTTTTTTTTCAGCTGTATGTGAATATTTCGCATTAAAGCACTAAATTAAAACTTCTGGGAATGTTCTCTTACTACATTTCACCATAAAATGTAGAAGTATTTTACAGTAAAATTGAATTTTATTGAATATTAAAATTAAATTTTACAGTAAAATTATATATTAATTAAATTTTAAACCATTTGTTATTTATTTGCTGTTATTGCTCTTGCTGTCGGTTATATCTGCTGCAGAACAAGTACAGAAACTTGCTACTGCCATGCATACACGACACGCAGTTGTGAGCAAGTAAAATATGCGCTGTTGTACCATATAGCGTACAGGAATTACCCGTAGCAGATCTATACAGGTGGAGCTAGGGAAGGTGGAGGGTTTCTGAAAGCATGCTGCACTGCTATAGAAAATACGGACCATGTATTTAAAGGTTGAGCAGTGAGCTCATTGGCTACCTGCTGAAAAATCCAGCTAAAACCAGCCTAGGCTGGTTGGCTGGTCTTAGCTGGTTTAAGCTGGAAGTAGCTGGTTTTAGTTGGTCACCCAGCCTGGCTTAGCTGGTCAAGCTGGTCTCCCAGCCTGACCAGCTAAGACCAGCCTGACCAGCTAAAACCAACTTGACCAGCTAAGACCAGCCTGACCAGCTGAAAAAGTGTTCAAAACTCCTCTAAAACCAGCCTGATAAACCAACTATAACCAGGCTGGGAGACCAGCCAACCAGCCTTGGCTGGTTTTAGCTGGATTTTTCAGCAGTGTACTGATACAGCAGGAACCAATCAGCTGTGCCCTATAGAGAGCTTTGTATTAGTAGAAAACCTGTAGTGTTTTCAAATTACCGCGCTTTCCACTCTCACATCCCCTGCGACGAGAGATTTATGTATTTTTTGTTTGGAAATTTTTTGGCCAGATGCTAAAGACTACAGTCAGTAGTATTGGCTGTCCCGCATATTCTCAACCCGCCCATAGAGGGTGGGATCTCACTCACAGAATGTACACATAGTGTCAGCCATCTTTTTTTGGAGGCTAAGCTAGCAGGCTCTTGTTCTGTGGAGAAAACTGAGTAGTAGGGGTTACAATTCATCCTCTTATTCCCAGATCAATGTCCGGGATTCAGCTTTTGCTTTCTGCAGTCGCCATTCATTGTTTATACGCACTTTTGTTTCAATCTAACTGAATTCAGATTCACCAATCGGAATGAATTCAGTGTTTACATGGTTGATGTGATTTTAACATTACTTAACATTATAAGAAAATCCCCTCTCCTCTGTGAGAAATATGAGACCGGTGCGTCTCACAGGTGTCACTCATCTGTAATCACGCCACCGGCCTCGCGCCGTTCTCCCGTGGCCCTCGATCTCGTCCTGCTCGCCACAGTCAACATAATGAATGGCGACTGTAGAACGCAAAAGCCGAATCCCAGACATTTTCGGCGATCTTGAAATCCCAGGTAGACTCATCACAGAGACTCACTAGTAGCCTAGACTTGTTGTTTAACTACTGTGCTCTGTTACCAGTAGACGTGGCCTCCTAAGGCAGCGAAGCAAGTGCATTCTGGGAGTTGTTGTCTTTCATCCACATAAGCCAAAAATACATTTTCTGGCTTTTCTCAGTCTAGAAAGCTCCAAATTCAAAAATAATTGCACATTTCTTCTACATCAATGACCCATTTTAAATACACATTCACCTTTCCAGTGATGAAGTATCCCTTTAAGTGTCTTTATATTATATTCATTAAGAAAAAGGCATTCAGGCTCTTTTCATAAGTTTTGCTGTCGACAGAAAGGAGCAGTTGTGAGCATCTGCTGCATGACTTTATATTCATTTTAATTTATGAATTCAATTTACATCCCAATACTCGTGAACTGAAAGGGAGACAATTCTTTAATTGTGACTTTTGTCCTTAACTTAAAGGAATATTTCTCTGTGCTTGCATATCCATTCATTGTATATCTGATTACAATGGGCAACACACTCTTATCTTATGCCATAGTACCTCTCCTATTTTAAGAAGTGCAATCTTTCATTTTGTAATGTTACAATTGTTCTCGGATTAAAATAGGATTTGCTGAGGAAGGAAGGAAAAACAGCAATTTCTCTATTTTTCGGGCATCAGATGGAAAGATTGCGTTTTCCTGCATTAACAAATAGTAGCTTTGATTGTGTGCATATTGAATGAGACAGCTAATTTATTTAACTCTGGTACTCAGAGAGGTTAAAAACTAGCTTGTGTTATAAGATGTAATCTTCTTTTGCCACATCTCTTAATTTCAAATCTTTACTGAATCTGCTAATGGGTGTTTATCATCGGCATAGGCAGTGAATGGCTGTGAGGCAAATTGATGCAATATCATTTAAAACCACATGAGGGTGCAAAGTAATGTACTTAATTCACACAGCCTAAATATTTCATACTTCAATCTGTTATTCATTCACTATGTGTGCATTATTAAAGTGCTAACAGGACTAATTTGAAAAGGAGGGAGCAGTTTATCTTTTAGCTTTATTCACCAGAAGTCGATAAAAACTTTCATTTGAAGAGAGCTGTTGCTTCTTTGAGTTTAATGTTTATGATGGATGAAGAAAATAAGACAAGAAAATGTTTCAAGACATTTTTAATGTTACAAAAGATTTTTATTCCAAATTACTTTGAACCTGCTATTCATCAAACAGGTAATAATCAGCAAAACATGTATTATTTCTTGTAGTATATGTAGTATTTACTGAAATTTACCTTAATTTATTTACTACGTCTATTAACAGTTCAATAAGGACTACAATATTCAATATTTTAGCAATCATCCAAATACAACTTTGTTGTGTCCGACTGTTCAATATGATATACTGTATACAGTATATAGTAAAATAAAACATGCTGTTTACCTGCATAATGCCGTGGTTATGGCAGCTACCAGCAGAGACTAAAACAGTCAAATGTATGGCAGATGTCTATTGACATACATGGACAGTAGACAGCGAGTGTCCATGAGAAAGCCTGCATGTTTTTCAGTGGCAGTTTCCTATTGGCACAGGATGTCAGATCCTCGTGGACTGCAGCCACACAATCAATTTCTCCCAAACAGATGCACAATAAAAACCTCAAACACCTTGATGAAAAGTACGCCAGTATGAAGCAGCCAACACATTTCAATTAGACTCCAGCAATAGTTGTAGCTCCGAGAAAGCGAGGGCTGTTTTCCATTCAGGAAGAGCAGCTGTCTCACTCCATCAGCAGCGTGCGTTCTCGTTCACAATCTACACACACACACAATCCCTAAAGAGGCTTTAGACATATTTAATAGCAACATGGCTGTTTGTTACAGAGACACATGTGAAATCAGGATGAAAAGATGTGGTCTGGTCCCATAATGCTACTGCATATGCCTGGGCATTATTTGAGAGATGTGTTCTGCGTGTGTTCCCTTACAGGAACATACTACGGTTCTACAGGGTACAGTGTGGGGTTGTCTGTGGACCATTCAGAATTGAGATGCCTTTTAAATGTCAATTCAGTTATTGAATTTCAATTAGGGTAAACAACAGGGTGCGTAATTGTAATTCAATGAAGTAGAAATGGACTGAAATTAAAACAAATTAAGCTTAATTTTGTTATGAATTATTGTCTAAAGACATAGAAACAGGAGAAACATAAGCACTTCCACGTCTGCTGGTCTCAAGTCCGGTGCTCTCAGCACATCCAAGTCCGAAGGTCTCTGCACTTCCAAGTTGTCCCATGTCCTGTGGTCTTAGTCTGGTGGTCCTGATTCTGGTGGTCCCTGGTCCGCTGGTCGAAATTAATCGTTTCTACGATGCAGACGAGGACGATTCGGTATCCGTTCAGGAATAGACCATAACCGATTATAATGTACTGATGCTTTTCAGACGTCATTTGTCACGTACGTATGTGTTTTTGTCGCGGTAGCATACAATGCCAGTATGCGAGACACAAGTGTGAGTAATTTAAAATTCTCCAACTACTGTACTTTAAAAGCCTACATCTGAGCACATTTCGGCTTTTATGAACAACCTGGTAAGCACGACCTGGAGAAGACAAGCTCATGTGTCACACACTAATGTAAAATAAAAAATAAGAATGCATCATGAGATCGATGACATGATAATCATAATCGAACCGAACCGTGAGACCAGTGTAGGTTCACACCCCAAGCTTCCTGTCAAGGCAGCTGCCATCTTTGCCTGCCCTGTTACGGCCAAGGAGGCCACTTTGAACTATCTGTTTGCCCTGACACGACCTTGGAGATCAGCCTTGAACCTTACGTCTGTCCTGACATGACTACGGAGGTCGTTCCTAAACTCTCTGTCTGCATTAACATGGTCATGGAGGCCATCTATGAATCCTCCAAGCTTCCTGTTATGGCCACAGAAGCCATTTTTAACCTGTTTTAGCTCAGCCGTGGTGGTCTCCAGTTCCGCCTGCCCTGCCATTGTTTTCTTCTGCCCTGCCATGGTGGTCTTCATCTCCATCTGCTCCGCCCTGGCCACTTGCTCTGCCCTTTCTCCCCAATCTGCCTCAGCCTCCAGTCATACTTCCTCTCCATGGGCATCTAGATTCTTTATGTTCTGTGTCTCCCAGTCCTTTGTTTTCATTTTGTTTGTTTATAGTTCATGGGCCGCACACATCTAGATGAGCAGTCCCACTCTGGAGCACACATACTCGCAGTCGTGATATGACAATTGCACTAATATCACAATAACAATATTATATTTTAAATTTACAATGCACTAATAAGGCAATAGAGGCATAAGTGCTGGTCTAATGAGCTAGAAATATAAAGTGCAGCTAGACATTCATTCACAACAATGCACATCAGATAAATCTCTAATGTGCTAGTATTAATCCCACCATGGTCCATGTTGCTTTCTATAGAGGTCAGCTTGTTTTCTGTTTGAACACCCATATGAACATTGACAGACTCTCCACAGGGTGGCATCCCTGCGATTTCCACAGAGCACCAAATGCCATGGTAATTATCTGTTCCACTGTGATCCCTGGACTTGAACCACGTTCACAGTCTGCCACAGACAGCCCAGTGTGTGACAGACATGGACAAACCATCCACCCACAGAGTCACTTAGAGCAGACGATCCTATTAAAAACAGACAGTACAGACACAGGGCTTTATGGGCAGCATATTAATGGACTGTAGCTGTGTGCTGCGATGGGTCTTATGATGTGCCATTCTCTCACTGTTGCTTTCAGGAGGACATAAACAGCCTGCTTATTCTGATACATTAATCCTCAACTGCGTGTGCCAAAATCAAATATGATGGCAACTTATCCCTCTGCCTGTCTGTTCATATCTCTGTCAAACATCCATGCTCCCTCTAATTTTTGTTCTTGAGTAAAACCTATTTTTGTTAGGTTCAAAATCACCCCATGTATCAGAGCCATGCTGGGTTCCATGTGGCATAGTTCTCAAAGAAATGCTATGGCTTTGCAGCATCTTGACTGAAATGAATGTGACGCATATGGGTGACTTCGCTTGAAAAAGCTAAGCTAAAATCACAATACTCAAATATACTGTGATGCATAATGCATCATAGTATATCAAGACTTTTTATATTGGTATCTTTGTACCGGATATACTCTACCAAACATTCACACTATTTGTGCCATGATGCTTTGGATTCATAGTTGATTTCAGAAATGCACAATTCAGGATGCACAATACAGAAGTAGCTAGAACAAAGATGGTCAGAATTAACTGGAGGCTTTAATATGGAAGCTTGTTTCCGCCATAGAATGAAAAATAAAAAAGGTATTGCGACTTTTTATCTCACAATTCTGACTTTTTTTCTCACAGTTACGAGTTTACATCTCGCAATTCTGACTTTATTTCTCAGAATTGCGAGATGTAAAGTCAGAATTGTGTGATATAAAGTCGTAAATGCGAGATATAAAGTCAGAATTGCGAGATATCAAGTCGCAATTGCATGTTATAAAGTCGGAATTGTGAGATATAAAGTCAGAATTGCGAGATATAAAGTCGCAATTGCGTGTTATAAAGTCGGAATTGCGAGATATAAAGTCAGAATTGCGAGATATAAAGTCGCAATTGCGTGTTATAAAGTCGGAATTGCGAGATATAAAGTCAGAATTGCGAGATATAAAGTCGCAATTGCGTGTTATAAAGTCGGAATTGCGAGATATAAAGTCAGAATTGTGAGATATAAAGTCAGAATTGCGTGATATAAAGTCGCAATTGCGTGTTATAAAGTCAGAATTGCGAGATATAAAGTCGGAATTACGAGATATAAAGTCAGAATTGCGAGATATAAAGTCGCAATTGCGTGTTATAAAGTCGGAATTGCGAGATATAAAGTCAGAATTGCGAGATATAAAGTCGCAATTGCGTGTTATAAAGTCGGAATTGCGAGATATAAAGTCAGAATTGCGAGATATAAAGTCGCAATTGCGTGTTATAAAGTCGGAATTGCGAGACATAAAGTCAGAATTGCGAGATATAAAGTAGCAATTGCGTGTTATAAAGTCGGAATTGCAAGATATAAAGTCAGAATTGCGAGATATAAAGTCGCAATTGCGTGTTATAAAGTCGGAATTGCAAGATATAAAGTCAGAATTGCGTGTTATAAAGTCGGAATTGCGAGATATAAAGTCAGAATTGCGAGATATAAAGTCGCAATTGCGTGTTATAAAGTCGGAATTGCGAGATATAAAGTCAGAATTGCGAGATATAAAGTCAGAATTGCGTGATATAAAGTCGCAATTGCGTGTTATAAATTCAGAATTGCGAGATAAGTCAGAATTACGTGAAATAAAGTCAGAATTGCACGATATAAAGTCGCAATTGCGTGTTAAAAAGTCAGAAATGCATGATATAAAGTCAGAATTGTGAGATTTAAACTATTCTGAGGGGGAAAAAGTCTTTTTTCCCCTTAGAATTGGCCTGATAACTCACAATTGCAAGGTTATATCTCACAATTCTGAGAAAAGATGTCAGAATTTAGACATATAAACTCGCAATTATGTGTTATAAAGTCAGAATTGCGAGATGTAAACTCGCAATTGTGAGGAAAAAAGTCAGAATTGTGTGATAAAAAGTCGCACTTCTGTCTTTTTTTCTCAGAATTGCGACTTTATATCACGCAATTCTGACTTTATACCTCGCAATTCTGACTTTATAACACAATTGAGAGATAAAAAGTCGCAATTATTGTTTTCTTTTTTTTATTCAGTGGCGGAAACAAGCTTCCATATTAATCTTCGAAATGAAGTAAAAAAAAAACTTTGTTTTGCACTGGAAAACGCCGCAAGATAGACACTTTCTCTGTGAGGCTTTGTAGGTACATGCGTACATGACTAGAAGGACAAATCAAACCTAACAGGCTGAATGACATGATGTAATTCTGGGAAGAAACAAGGTGACATCAAACAAAAATTACAATAGGTTGCTGTAAGACTGAATGACGTGCCTATGAAACATTAGGATGAGGTGCAGGAGAAGACATTAATTTCTCATCTTCCTTTAATTTGGGGGGCTGTTTTGATGGATGAAATGACTAATGAGAACTGAGATCTCACCTTGAAGCTGATGTCCCTTTTCTTGCAGCACAGGCAGGCGAGCATGAGGAAGACAAACATGAAGAGGCCAGAGAAGGAGACAGCCACCACTGCCAGAGAGGATGGCCATGACAGCTCACTCAGCGGGGAGCCACCTGGGGTGCACAAACACACACTCGGTGTCAAACCCCAAACCACAGACTACAGTGCATGAAGGCTCACTGACCATGTTAAAAGGTGAAATGTGTTATTTATGTGCCTCTAGTGCATCCAAACCTCCCATATGTCAATAATCAGATCCATTTCTTCCCATTTATGGTTTAAAAAAAAAAAACGTTGCTTACACTTTGATTTAAGGTGTCTGTGTTACAGTTTAATTTTACATTTAAGTACTGAGTAATAATAATTAACTACATGTACTGTCTAATGTTAGGGTTAGGGTTTGGTTTTTAGGGTTATTTGCATGTTTGAATCATTTTTAGTTAATACTACAGTAACTACAATTAACATGTAACAAGGACACTGTACAATAAAGTGTCACTGACAGTCTGCATGAAATCAAATTTGGCCCTATATGCACATTTCTAGCCTTGTGGTTAACAATTAATCTGTGCAAATGAATCCACAGAAGAAAACAATGATGGTAAAACTTTACAATAAGGGTCATTAGTTAACATTAGATAATGCATTTACCAACACTAACTACCAATAAACAAATTAATTTATTATTGCATTTATTAACCTTTCTTAATGGTAGTTAATACAAATGTCAATGTTCATGATGTGCATTAACTAATATTGTCTGGTACAACTTTTGATCTTAAAAATTAATTAGTAAATGATGAGATTAACATTAATAAATGCTGTAGAATTATTGCTCAGTGTCTATTTACTTTTCTAGCTCATATGTAGTTAACTAATGTTAACAAATTAATGATTGTAAAGCGTTACCAACGTGTTTGTCTTTAGTCAAAATCAAAAAAAATTGCATTAAAATGCCAGAAAAAAAAAATTGCAGTTTCACATTATCATTGTCTTTACGAAGGGAGAGACTATTGGGGGCTTTTAACAGCTGATAAGACAATAACACGGGTTATCTAAATGTTTCATAACAGCATGTGAAGCAGCGTGCAGCTGCTGTCAGTAATTTGATTTGGTGTGCATCACATTTTGAACAGTTCACCTGTCCATGAAGGAACATCACGAAACCAGCGCTAATGGAAGCCAAATCTGCTTTTTTGTTGCGGTGAGTCACTGAGACACAATCTGCATGATGTTTAAAAAACCTAAATATGACACTTGTTTTTCATAATTAAACGCACATTGCACAGTTTTATCATTTAATGAAGTGAGAGACTGCGATATGGGTGTCAAATGAAAGCTGAGGGTATGCTCTGCAGTTTGATTGGCTATAAAAGTAAATTGAGAAAAGATAATACAATCTTTTTCTAAAATTCCATTATTTTTACCCTAATGGCATTGAAAACCTGTATGGCCAAAAAAAAAAAATAATAATAATAATAATAATTTTGCAGACTGCCTATGCTGTTCATTTTCATACACCAAAATGGATTGCAATTCACACTGCCAAGCAAAATTGACAAAAGCACCATAAAAATTAGTCAATGCAACCTGTACCCTCCCTAATATATTTCAAGTCTTCTGAGTGCATTTCTTTAAGGCCAAAAAGTCAATAGGCTTTTTTTCAATTAGCTTTTGGATGATTGCAGATCTGGTCCGTGACAAACAATAGCTTATGATACTTACACGTTTTGTGTTACACGTTCATTTTCACAAATGTCACAACTTTTATGAATTTTGATCACCCAAATACAATCTTCAGAAGTAAAAAATCATGTTCGGCGCAGTTTGAGTAGGACGGGTTACATTTGGTGCCGTGACCCGGGTGGGAGTGAGGTTTAGGGTAGAGTTCCCCAAACTCGGTCCTGGAGGGCCACTGTCCTTGCAGAGTTTAGCTCCATCCCTGATCAAACACACCTGAGCAAAGATAATCAAGGTCTTCAGAATCAGTAGAAACAGGTTGATGTGTTTGATCAGGGTTGAAGCTACAGTGGCCCTCCAGGACCAAGTTTGGGGAACCCTGGTTTAGGGGGATGAGTGTAAAGGACATTGGTCAGTAAGAGCTGTGCGTGTTAACCTCACTCTCCTGGCCTCAAGAGGCACTCTAGGAACTGATGCTAACGGTTGCGGTCTTTAGCGTCCTTGTTAGCACGGTTCAAATCGTGCTCGGAGCGGGTCAAGTAGGACCATTGCATAAACCACAGACCCTATTTCAGGCATTTAACCAAAAACAAAATGCAAATGCAAAATGCAAACTCGTTTCTGGACTGATCTAATCAACAGCTTTATGTGAAAAAAAAATACCTAAATGAAATGAAATCATTATTGTAAAGATTCAGATCAATTCATGTATATCAAAATCCAGAGACATAGGAACGACTAAAATCAAACTGGCTTGTGCATAATAATTACAATGTACCCACACAAAAAAATATTGTTGGTTTAACTTTAAAAAGTAAGTAACCTGGTTGCCTTAAAATTTTAAGTTGATTGAACTGGAAAAAGTGAGTTAATACAATGAAGGAGATTGATTTAATCATCAGAAACTCAAAATAATAAGTTATCTGAACTAAATCAATTATTTAAGTTGATTTGACAAAAGAAAAAATTTTGCGATAACAAGATTTTCTTAAAAGAAGAGACTTGTAAAATGCCGGCAGATAATGTTTAATGAAATGTCCGCTTGAGGTAAATTTGTTGCCATTTAAACATGCCTCCCAACTGTCCAGTTTGATTGGCTGTGTGCTAATGAAGCAGATGCACGGGACTCGGGCCAAAAGCATTTAGGCCTTTTCGCACTCTGTCATTACAAGGACAACGCAGGGGGTGGTGTCACATTTTGGACCACTGAGATGTAATCTGACTTTCACTGTAATCCTGCTGTCAGCAAGGGACAAAGACAGACACATCAAGACACATGTTAAGCATGTGCTGTCTCTTTCTCTCAGTTGAAAAGTGCATGACGATTCAGATCTGCAAAACTCTTCACCACAATAGCAATATGTCCTGAAATGGAGGAAGTGGCTTGTTTTGCTGATATGCTGAAAATTGTCGCTGTGGACACCATGTTCCACATGTGATGTCTGTCACTGCTCATGTGGGCCAATGAGGTCAATGTCTTAACAGAAAAACACATAGGATGGAATAAACACACACAAATCAAAACTCTGATGGGCTCTGCACCAAAACATGGAGCTGCCCTGCTGTATAATACCTACATAGGCAGCTGTCTTTGACCAAAAGGGTGGCTTCCTAATAAAGATGTCTGTAGGCATCTCAGTGGGTTTTCTAACAGAATGCAGTGACCGGAGCATGTGTGTACACACAACACCACATGCAGAGACACGGTCAGCAATGTGCGAAAGCATTTCCCCCACCCACTCTTGCGTCTCCATGGTAACAGGCTGGCTGCCTGACCCATCATGTATTGCACTTCGCTTTTTGTCAAATCTCTCTAATGATGGCACATTTCTGCTGATGCATTAACAGCTGCTCCTATTTTCCTCTGCTTCTTTCATCAGGTTTCCCTCTCACGCCCAAGCATTCTCACACGCTCTCCTAAATACACATCTTCGCTTCCCTGGGGTGTAAGTGTACACAGGAGATCAGTGCTGAGATGATGACGAGAGCAGGACGTGAGCTACATGAATTTGAAACAGTGAAACAGCTTTCTCCTGCTTTTCTGAAATAAGAGCACCCAGCACAGGTGTTCGAAATCGCGTACTATCGTAGTTCTTCTGCGATATGCAGTATGCAAAGAGTCTGTTGTCACCAAAAAAGCTGTCTTAATGAATGTTAATCAGGTGCTGACATTTAATATGCCCTTTTGCATAAGTCTTGTTTTTGGGCTCTTTTAGAATAGGATTTTAAGCTTGAATGCCCAAAAAAGAAATTATTTTTCACATATTTTACATTGTTGCAGCACCTCTCTTCCCAGTCTGTTAGTAACGCTCTGGGGTGCGTTTCCAGAAAGCATCGATAGCAAACTATGGTCGCCAATTCCGTCGACCACAAATATGGTTTCGGGAAACGGTTGTGACGAGCTAGTTGCTTTCAACAATGAATCGTACGAAGCAGCAAGTCATGTCGTTGTACCACAAACACACCCCTGTTTAGTTTTGTGTCTATTTGTCGAAAAGAAAGACTAAGTATCAACACATTACCAACACAACCAGGCCTTTATTTAGCAAATGCCCTGGGCGGTTTAGGTGCAAATCACGAAACGTACCGTTTGTGTGAGAAAACAAACAGTATTTATATTGTTTTTACCTTTTGTAACCACAGCCACAAAGCGCCCGCGCCATCAGATCACTTGGATGTGGCTGTGGTTACAAGAGGTAAAATCTATATAAACACTGTTTGTTTTCTCACACAAACCCCTCATTTCGTGTCTTAGGCCATCAATGTGTGCTTACATTTACGCGTCATTGAATCATGTTTAATTTGGACTTCAATGTGCATGCTCTTTGAGGTGGTATACCTCAATTATATGACTGATAGACACAAACGGTTTGACCGAAAAATATCAAAATTGAAACTACTGCAGAAACAATCTTGGATGCACTTGAGGTAAGCTAAAACATACCAAAAAATAATTGCAAAGTGAACTATCCCTTTAATCTCGTTGTCAGTCGACCATCATCGCGCACCGCTCGCGCATGAGCATCTAGGTGAAGCAGATAAATGTACGCAGCAATATATAAGGAATGTTCCTGGGAAATAGTTGTGTGGCATATGGAAGCGTGCAAAATTTCCAGAAATGTACAAAAAGTGCCCTGGCCTTGAATAACAAGGTAAGGAAAATAAGACTAAATCAAAATTAAATAACCAAGACTAGGTTGACCATGCGATTTTTCTCAAGAGATGTTTTGAGAATTTTACTTCAGACAACGGATCATCAGCAACTACTCAAAATAAACTAGCAATCTATTCAGTCAGCATATTTGTGTTTGATCTGTGTGAATTACAGAAATATACAGACTTGCTAGACCTACTTTTAGCAACCCAGCAACCTTTCCACAAGGATTGATTTTATTTTTGTGACGTGTGAATACCTTGATGTGAAATGACGCAG